GGTCGAAGAATCCTCAATCTGGGCCAACAACTCTTCTTTGTCCAGGATGAGTTGTTGAAGCGAGGCTTCGGCTTCTGCACGCAAGAAGGCCTCTTCCCTGCAGAGAGCCTCTGCTTGGTGGAGCTCAGCGCGCAAGTTTTCGGCTTCCAGAGTATTGCTTTGCATCTCAAGCTCTGCCAGGTGTTTCCGGGTTGCCTCATTTGTCTCTTCAGCAAGTTCCTTGGCTTGACGCTCCTGTGAAAGCTCGGTGGTCTGCACATCTAATTTGGCCTTCAACTCAGACAGGGAGGCCAAAGCAAGGGCGAGGCGACGTCCCATGTCGGTAGGTCGCTCATCATCTCCATCCCGAGAAGCATCAGGCTGAGGGGTTCCCCGCTGACTTCCACCATGGGCAGCAAGCTTGGCCCGGGAATACGCAGCTTCATTGATAGCCATATCGCGTTGATGTTCCACTTCAGCAACCCGTTTAGATGCGATGGCAGCCTGTCGATCCACAGTGGCCTGCATCTTGCTCAAGTCTGCTCTCATAGCCAAGAAAGCCTCAAGCAGCGGGCGATCCTCGTCGCTTAGAGCCTCATTGGCCCGGTCGTCTAGCGCGGGGCTACTAGTTGCATTCGGCACATAGCCACATTTTCTTGCGAGTGCGAGTTCTGAGGCATACCAGGCATTTCGGGCCTTGGTAACCTCCAGCTCCTTTATCAATGCCTCTTGGTGGGGTGTAAGTCGAGGAGATCGTGGCTCATCGCCAAGAGTCTTGGAATTGCGGAAGCTTCGAGATTCCATTGAACCCTCGATGCTAGCCTGCCGACCCAGAATCGATTCCTCTCCGCTATCAACGGACCCACGCTGTCGATGAGAACGGAGCGACCGTTGTCGACCTGGGGCACTGATCAACGGAGCTGCCTCACCTGCTTCCATGGCCTTGGCTGACGGCTTTTGATGCTGTGTTGGAGTTCGGCGACCAGCTGACGCAGGTCCCCGGGGCTCTTGTGGGCCTTCCTTCATAATCGGTGATTCTTCGCCACGCTCGTCGTTCGCTACGCGAACATCAACAGTTGGTGTGTGCCCGCGATCATTCTTGGTCGGTGTCTTGCTACGAGGGTTCGCACCGGCTGGAGGGCCATTTCCACGAGGGCCAGGAGAAGGTGCTTGTCCAGGAGGTGGTGGACCGGCAGGGGCTTGAGCAATTGATGCCCTCGGTAATCTCGATCCAGGTCCCAGATTTGGATTAGAGCCAAACTCCCCTGGCCTATTAAGAGCCACACCCTGTATCATGCTCTCACGCGATGGCGCCGGTCCCCGTCGCATTTGCTGCTCTGGGCCAGCGTTTTGTGCCTCCCGAGACGAGCGCCCAGACGAGATACCTGGCTTATCAACACTGGTTTTTCTGGTCGTTGGTTCGGGAACGCGTCCCCCAGGTTGCGAATCATTCGGGTACCGGATCTTGCTAGTATCGAGGATGTAGGACATACTGAGCTCCGCAGGGTCCCTAGGAGCCGAGCTGGGTTCGCCCGCCATAACAATGATCTGCTTACCAAACGCGGTCATGCTGTGACCAGATCGAGGGGACGGTGCAGGGCCCATGTTTTGGAAGGAGTACCAACGTCGAGTTGAGATGCGGAACGCTGACAGATCTCCCAGGTCAACTCCTTCATCAGTGCGACCTCCGAACACATACATCACATCGTTGACCAAAGCCGAGGCATGGCCCTCCCTAGGAGCCGGGATAAATCCAACGCAATCAATTTCGGTCCAGCTGTTGGAAATGTAGTCATAAGACCAAACATCATTGAACCACTGCACTCCGTTCGTACCTCCGAACAGGAATAGCTTGTCGTTGAAACTGACAATGGTGTGGTTTGTTCTCGCTGGAGGAATTTGGCCTGGTGCAGGTCCACCTTCGTGGCTGTTCGGGATCAGAACCTCCCATTTATTTGCTGGATTTTGAAGCTGGTTCAAGTCGAACGCAATCAGATCATTGAAGAAGAAGCCCTCCACTTGCCCCCCGAAAACATAGAGTTTGGAGCCTAAGATGTTTAGAGTGTGACCGTAACGCCCGGAAGGTCGAGAGCCGGGAGGGATGGCGCGGGACCATTGGCGGGAAGCTAGAGAAAGAGAGTCAGGATCATGGTGAACATGAATAACTCGATGCCACGCTTACATGTGTTCAAAAGATACAGAGTGTCGTCCAGAGAGTCATTCTCGTCGATTTTGGTATCACCGCCGAACACAATGAACGCATTCCCGACAAGCAAACTGGCGTGACCGACTCGCGGGCCGGGGCCTTCGGATATTGTCGCAACCTGCAGGCAGTTCAAGCCACCACCACTGCTTTCAATCATCCATAAATCACCTTTGACGGTCGATCCATCTATCAGGCCTCCCATCATATATATGTCTCCTTCCTTGGATGCCACCGAATTGATTGCCGCTCCATATCGAGGAAACGGGTTCGTTTGGGGAGAAGAGAAGTTCAAACGGCGTTGCGACCATGGATAAAGGGATGAACTGGGGCTTGGAGGGGGGATCCCGCTGGGTAATTGCTGAGGTCTCTGCATCTGTTGTAGACATTAGAGCTCTGGCCTCGGAGAGCGACGAATGGATCACGAAACAGATACCCACCTGGGATTCCGATTCTGCCCTTTGCCGCGGCCGTACCGCGTCTGGACTCGTCGGGCTTGTGGCTGAGTGCAGAGAGTTGCTGAAGCTACCGCTTGGGGTTGGCGTCTGAGAAGTCGTGCCATCTCCCTTGGCCCCATTCGTCATTGAAGGCGATCCGGTGGATGAAGCACCCTCGGAGGTGTGGACATTTCTAGTTGCCGGGGGGAGTGCAGCCGCCTGCTGACTCTGCTGATTCCTCTTTGATTTAAACAGAAAGGCCATCGTAATTTATGCGGTCGTAGTCGGTCGTATCAGGGGATCTGGCGCAAAGTCAAGCTGCGCCGAAGTGCGGACTCGATCCGACACCGGAAAATCGAAAGAATGGCGTCGTCCCGAAAGATGAATTGTAAAAGGCGAACAGATAGGGGGGGTTGTCTATTTCAAGAAGTGAAGTGGGAACCAGGAACCACTAGGAACCATAAAACGTTCCATGCACAAGCCGCTCAGCGTCCCCCCCAAAAAAAATAAAAGTGGGCAAGGGGAGGCTTCTAAACAGAAGCATCCGCACTGGGGGACTCGAAAAACAAATCAAAGCGGCTAAAGCCAAGGCAAAAAAGGGGGAGGTCGAAGGCAGGAAATGTGAAAGAGGAAAAGCGAAGATGGAAGAGATGTCCGTTTCAATTTCCCGGAGATGCTCTAAGTCAAACTAGTCTTAGTTTCATTGGACGTGCATAACTCAGGGGCATACTATTATTACTCTATTACTCGAATATTTAAAGTATAGAGGATTATATTATATTATATTATATTATATTATATTCTTCATTTATTTTCAATGCTTGTCTACTTAACGATGCCCTACTGCGAACATTGTACTCCGTACTAGTCCCCTTGTCATTCCTCCCAGTCTCTTTTTTTGGTCCAGCCTCCAGGAACCGAGGGGGTGATTTCACATTCCACTATAGCATATTCACGCGTCTTTTTAGCTCTATGTTTGTATATCAGCATTTCAAAAGAAAGAAAATATATAAAGGGTTTCACAACAATGTCCTGAAGTCTGCATTATATATTCAAGGGTTAGTTGAAATACCGTCCATGGGCTTGTTAACCCTAGCTATCACACTATCACAACCCCCAATGGGCTATATATATACAACATATATGCCACGGGACCGAGCATTTGGCCACGGTGTGAGCAACTACAGGTCCAATAACAATTTATCCTAACACTGCATTCCCCAATTCCACACGGCGATCCATGCCCCACAATGTGCAAGAAATACCGATTGCTTACAGATTAAGGCTGTACAACAGTGTGACTAGGCATGTAAACTGATGAATGTCGACTCTGAAATGCCTTACTAAAAAAAAGGTAGACCTTTGAAGCTGATAGATCCGAGGGGAAAGGGGGTTATCAAAATTATCTGGACGATCTCTTTTTTCCCGCCTCTCGGGTTGTTCTAGGGATGAACCTCTTGACACTGATGTACTTTTGCAATAATCTATCATCATTGGCTACATGCCATATGTCTGAGTTTTTTTTGGGGGGGGGGTTGTTTGCTATGTTGTATAAGAATCGACGTGTCAGTTTTTGGATGTCCATCCTTCCTCGGGGTGAAACCTTTGATGTCCCCTACGATTCTTGTCTTAGGCATTCCCAACCATCCAAGGGTATGTCTCTTTTAGATTCAAGCAAAGATCACAAAAATATGTTGCGTAGAATATACATAGCTGACTAAGAGAGGTTTTATCCCAGAGGTTTCATCCCAGGTGAACTTCACTGATGTCGTCCATGATGTAAGCTAGGTGCCCGGGTATGGAACAACTCCATTTCACTAGATTCTGTGAGTTATATAGATCGACTTTATAGGCAGGGATTTTAACCTGAATACCATGGAAGCAAAGAGCATTGACCCTACGCAAGTCATGATTGCCTCAGTGACGTTGTAAAACGATACGTTGGAAGTCCACATGTTATCTATACTTGCCGGATGCCAAGACATCATTCTGAGTAATCCCCGGAATATCTGTGTTTCCGCATCCATCTCGCCTTTCCGAACCACATCCGCTCTAGACCAGGTAGATTAGCTCTCTTTGGACCAGAATCCATAGACTGTGCGCTGAGCTCTCTCTGCGCTCCTGGAATATCTCCAGGACAGTCGCAATTTGAGATTAGTCTAGGCCACTACGAATCCATCCAACTCCAAGGTCACCTGGGCCATTTCATCATCGGTCTCTTCCCCAGTTTCAGAACATCCAGTTCCTCGCGAGCAAACCGAAAGAGGAAACTCACTGGTTGTGACCGGTGACCGAGCGGGGATACTCGCAGCTTGCCTAACATACGCTCCAGCCCTTCCTCTTCCCCCATACTCGTGTAACACAATGAACGATCATACAACATGAGGGATCCCACTACCGATATGGAACAAAACTCACAGCAAACGACCAACGGGTCGACGGCCTCGCGTCGCAATCCGAATAAATCGGTTCGCGTCGCATTTGGTCCCGAGTTAGAGACTACGATTCCCACCCGTGAAAGATCTCCAGCTCCGTTGAGTGGCCATCATCGCTCGCTCACAGAAGTTGAACACAAGCAACCCACACTGACGCCACACGGGCGCCCAACCAGCTCATCGGGAGACAACAGTGCCGTCGGAGAGATCCCGCCCCGCCGCCCATCGCCTCGGAGATCGGGAGAGTAGCCGACCGGCTATGCTGAAGAGAGCCAAAAGTGACTATGGACCGAGTCGGATAACCTTTGATAAAGTGGCAGGCGATGACGATGAAGATTTCGCTATGCGACATGGTTGGCAGGAGGAATATACCTCCAGCGAATATCTCAAGATCTTGCATTCGGTAAGCATGACCACTCTGGTCGTGGGTTTCCGGAACCTAACACAATACCCTCTGATTATAGAATTTCTATATGTATTTCACCGAGAAACGTCATGAAACCAACGGTATTCCCAGGGATCCGGTTGGAAGTTGGCCCAGTCAGGACTGGCGCATGAAAGATCGCCTGAAGACTGTGTCTGCGGCTTTGGCCATCTGTCTGAATATCGGAGTCGACCCTCCTGATGTGGTAAAGACCAATCCAACATCCAAGCTTGAATGCTGGGTAGACCCGACTTCTACCACAGGCGGTGGTCAGAACAAGATCATGGAGCAGATCGGCAAGAAGCTACAGGAGCAATATGAGACTTTGAGTCTTCGGACCAGATACAAACAATATCTGGATCCATCGGTTGACGAGACCAAGAAATTTTGCATCTCGCTTCGCCGAAATGCCAAGGACGAGCGAGTACTTCTGCATTACAATGGACACGGAGTACCATTGCCAACTCAGTCGGGTGAAATCTGGGTATTCAACAAGAATTATACCCAGTATATCCCTGTCCCACTGTATGATCTGCAGTCCTGGCTAGCTGGACCTAGTCTTTTTGTCTTTGATGTTTCACATGCGGGCAATATTGTCCAAAATTTCCACACTTTTGTGGAGAAGCATGAGAAAGAGAACATTGAAACTAAGAAACGAGACCCGAATGCCGTCATTCAGAATTATGGTGATTGCATCCTCCTAGCTGCGTGCCAGAAGACGGAGTCGCTTCCGACCAATCCCGATCTACCTGCAGACCTATTCACCTGTTGCTTGACAACGCCAATTGAAATCGCATTGCGCTTTTTCATCTTGCAGAATCCTTTGCGAACAAACATTTCCATTGACGACTTCCGAGTTCCCGGTCGACTTCAAGATCGTCGAAGCCCTCTTGGAGAACTGAATTGGATCTTCACTGCAATTACCGATACGATTGCATGGAACACCTTACCTCGGGCTTTGTTCAAGAAGCTCTTCCGACAGGATCTAATGGTCGCCGCTCTTTTTCGCAACTTTTTGCTCAGCGAACGCATCATGCGCACCTACAAATGTCATCCGATATCTTCGCCCGAATTGCCAGACACACATCATCACCCTCTATGGAAAAGCTGGGACCTTGCAGTCGAGATGGTGTTATCTCAGCTACCTGCTCTTATTGATCAAGAAGAAGGACGCCGGCAGTACGAGTACCAGCACTCAACTTTCTTCGCTGAGCAACTCACTGCTTTTGAGGTGTATCTCTCGTCCGGTCCTACGGAGAAGAATCCACCAGATCAGCTTCCTATTGTCCTCCAAGTCCTTCTGAGTCAGGCACACCGTTTGCGGGCCTTGATTCTTCTCAGCAAATTCTTGGACCTCGGCCCATGGGCTGTCCACCTTGCACTCAGCATTGGCATATTCCCCTATGTTGTCAAGTTGCTGCAATCAGCAGCTCAAGAATTGAAACCCGTGATGGTTTTCATCTGGGCGAGAATCATGGCAGTCGACCACACTGTACAAAATGATCTACTCAAAGACAACGGCATCCACTACTTTATCTCAATTCTGAACCCTTCTTCGCCCATTCCTGTGGGAAATGCCAGTGAACACAGGGCCATGTGTGCTTTCATAGTCTCGATCTTCTGCAAAAACTACCCCCAGGGACAGAACGTCTGCCTGTCTGGCGAGTTATTTGATTCGTGCCTCAGGCATCTAGGTGATGTGGAAAACCCCCTATTGCGGCAATGGTCTTGTCTGTGTCTCAGTATGCTCTGGTGCGATTTCCCCGAAGCAAAGTGGATGGGCATTCGATGTGCAGCCCCCGCTAGGCTCTGCGAGTTGAATTTCGACCCCGTCCCCGAAGTTCGCGCTGCAATGCTTCACGCGGTGACTACGTTCTTGGGAATTCCAGATCTAACAGACCAGGTTGCACAAATCGAGGAGACATTAGCACTGGCAGTCTTGCCCATGTCTGCCGATGGAAGTGTGGTTGTTAGGAAGGAGCTTTTAGTGTTCTTCTCAACATTCGTCAGACGCCACCAAAACAAATTTTTGGTCGCAGCATTTGAGGAGCTTGAGGAAGAAAAGCGATCCCTGGTTCATCGCTGGGAGAGCGAAACCTCTACCAGTCGCCCCGAAGGACAGACTGGAGCACTACTTCCCCATGCGAAAATGCCCCGGCTGTCTCGCAATACGACTTTCGGAACTATCTGGAAGCAGCTGCTGGCTCTCTCGGTCGATCCTCATCCTGACATCGCCCAGGATGCCGCCGTTATAGTTGATTACATCCACCTTGCCTTGTTGGAATCTCCAATGGCGTCACTCACTAACAAGCTCCAGAATGAGATTCTGGAAATAACAGGTTTGACGAAATTCCAACCTCATGAGCGAATTGAGGCAAAGAAAACTGCGCCACCTTCAACACCTCCCATGCCTGGAGCAGCAACCTCGAAACAAGAAGGCTATCTTTCTTTGGGTTTTAGACGAACTGCTAGTGTCGCTGCTTCCCTGAAGAACCTTGCTTTTGGCAATTCAACAACAGGAGACCTATCTTCGGATAATTCGAACCCTCCTTCCCCTTCAACCAGCCGTATGGCAATTACCCCACGCGGCCGGGCCCCTCCTGAATGGACCCGACCCCCGGAAGTAAATGATCATGTTGCTCCCGCAACGGCATACCACCAGGCTCCAATTCCCACATCCCGAGGATTCGAACCCAAAGGCTTTGATGTCGTGCCTGTTATTCCCCTGAAGAGTAGATTCCTAGACTGGTCCACTGAGGTAATTCCGGATCTTGAATCCATCGAGTCCCACAACTATTATCATATACATTTACTCACCATTTCTAAGTATTTCCGGGAGCCCCAGATGAAACCCAACGAGCCGGATGAGCCTGGTAGCTCTGACTACAACCAGCGCCTCTGGAGACGCGGCCGCAACGAAAAGATCATCGCCGAGACCCAACCCCTCAAAGGAAAAGCTGGAGCGAGCCGCTGGGATAACTCGGTTGCTTTGCTATCGAATGGTAGTCAGCCCCACAAGATGTGCTTCCATCAATTCGAGGATCACCTTGCTGTCGCAGATGACCGGGATACAATTTCGTGAGTACAAACAAGTCGCTTTCTTAGTATTTTGTATCTTCTTTTAACCATTGGTTTCATATAGCATTTGGGACTGGCAAAGCCACAAACGCCTCAATCAATTCTCAAATGGCAACCCGGTCGGGTCAAAGATCAACGAAGTTCGATACATCAATGAGGATGATCAGGCACTACTTATGACTGGATCATCTGACGGTGTGATCAAGCTTTTCCGCCATTACGAGACTAATAAGAGTATTGAAGTAGTCACAGCCTTCAGGGCCCTCCCTGAACTTATTCCAAGCAACCGCAACGCAGGCCTTGTACTTGATTGGCAGCAAGGTCAGGGCAAAGCTCTGGTTGCAGGTGATGTCAAGGTTATCCGTGTCTGGAATGCGGCTACTGAGGTGTGCACAAACGTAAGTCTTGAATGTCTGGTCTTACAAATATGTCACGTTACTCACAAAAGTTCAATAACAGGACATTCCGGCACGATCGGGTTCCTGCATCACATCATTGACATCTGACCAAGTAGCGGGCAACATATTCGTTGCTGGTTTCGGTGACGGTGCTGTCCGAGTCTTTGATCAACGGTTGAAGCCAACCACATCCATGGTCAAAGTTTGGCGTGAGCACAAGCAATGGATTACAAATGTCCATATGCAGCGTGGTGGTCTACGAGAATTGATATCAGGTGGTCGTAATGGCGAGGTCCGACTTTGGGATCTTCGCATGGATAGCCCAATCTCCACCATCTATGCTACCAAAGACACCCTGCGAACCTTGAGTGTTCACGAGCACGCTCCTGTCTTCAGCATGTACGTTACCTCCCTCGTAATATCTTTTTTTCTTTCCAAGCTAACATGACCCAAGGGGTACAAATCGCCACGAAGTCAAGACTTTCAACGTGGATGGCACCTATCTTTCTACGTTCGAGCCATACTCGAGCTTCCTTCATCACAACCGATCCTCGCCCATTGCCAGCACTGCCTTCCATCCTCACCGGACTGTGCTTGCCTGTGCCGCATTGAATGACCATCATGTAAACCTCGTGTCCTGCTAATTCCAACTCAGCTCCGAAATTCATGATACCTTCGTGTGTGGTGACCTTCATGGCATTGTTTCTTTCTCTTGTCCTAATATTACCCTTTCTGTAATATGCATCCGCATACCCGACGAACAATTCTACACGGCGTCTTGGGGATTGACTTGATCAACCATACATTGTGGCTCTGCGTTGTTGGTTTTTGTTCCCTTGGGGATGCTTCACTACCCTTTGATATTCGTGACGATTCTTCTATTCTTCTACTTCATGCAAGACAGTGTACCCGGCCTCGGGTCTATGAACTTCTTTTTACCCTTGTTTTCTTTTCTCACTTCAGTATCAAGCACAATATCTTGTGGTAATGGGTGGTAATGTGTGCTAGTCTCGCTTGTAGTTTAATTTTTAGAATGCTCGTGCTCGGCTCACTTTAGTGAATTGGGTACAGCGCTATAGAAGCTGTCCTGTTTGGAATTATAGCAGGACTTGGTTTGATTCTTCTTGTTTCTATGCTTGTTAATCACTCCAGACAATTACATTAATATTTTCGTATGATCTCACTCGAGTATTTATGGATATACTCGATGCAGAGCGGCAGAACCTTGGCCACGCACTGTATGTAGTTTACCTGATCACTCCACCTAGGCATATTGAAGTGTGAGCCGGCTATGTGGCCTATTTCCTTTGACCACGACGGACTATAGGACTTGAATAAGCTGAAAATTTAGTTGGGTTAAAAAATGATACGAAAGTCATTATAATATCTAAGACAATACTATGATATCTTGTCTGATGTCTTCTTTTGAGGTATTTCCCCTTCTGGTCATTGCCCTATAACGCAAATTACACCATAGCCGAAGGAAGGATAGAGGAGAAGTACTGAGTATCTCACTCTTATCATTCGATATATAACTTTGACAATGTATATACTATGTAGCTCTGTTTGAGGGCAACGCTGGTCGCTGGTCACGTGTGAATATATGCAATAGGTAATGCTCAACCATGTGAATAGAAAGAGATATTTAGGCAGATGAGGTGGCAAAGAAAGAATTGTCGAAGGTAAATTATTTATCTGTGCCACAGAAAAGAGAACTATATACCTATGAAGCATGGGTCGAGACCTTTTAGCGAAATATTTATTTACCGTTAGCTAACTTAAATCGAAAATCATTCAAAAGCAGTGAGATAAAACGGAAAAGGATATTGTTATTGTTGGGTCATTCTCATAAAATACTAAAAAAATCTAGGAATACAGCCTAGAAGAAATTCATAACATCACTCATAAATCGCCTAGTAGTTGCGCTGGCTGCCAAACGCCGCCTTATCGTCAACTCTGGGGTCAAGCTTGTTCAAAAGATCAGAGCCATGGCGACCAGTGGTATTTCCAGTCTTCGAGGTTTGGTTGTAGTTGGTACCGCCACCGGCTCCGTAGGAGTCATCGGCACCATAGCCAGACTGTCCAGTGGAGCGGCCAGTGTTGCTACCGTAGTTGTCGCTTCCAGACGCAGTGTTGCTGGATCCATAGCCCGACTGTCCGGTGGAGCTACCATAGTTGTCACTACCAGAGAGAGGCTTACCGGAGCCATATCCGGACTGTCCAGTGGAGTGGCCGGTGGTACCACCAGTCAAGGGGTTGCTGCCGTAGGTATCGCTCGAGCCATAGCCAGACTGTCCAGTGGAGTGTCCGGTGGTGCCGCCAGTCAAGGGGTTGTTGGATCCGTGACCGGTCTGTCCAGTGGTGCTGCCGTAGGTGTCGCTCGAGCCATAGCCAGACTGTCCAGTGGAGTGTCCGGTACTTCCAGACACAGGGTTGTTGGATCCATAGCCCGACTGTCCGGTGGAGTGACCAGTGGAGCTACCATAGTTGTCGCTACCAGAGAGGGGCTTACTCGAGCCATATCCGGACTGTCCAGTGGTGCTGCCGTAGGTGTCACTTGAGCCATAGCCGGTCTGTCCAGATGAGCGGCCAGTGTTGCTGCCGTAGGTGTCGCTGGAGCCATAGCCGGTCTGCCCAGAAGAGCGGCCAGTGTTACTACCGTAAGTGTCGCTAGAGCCATAGCCAGTCTCTCCGGTAGAGCGGCCAGTGTTGCTGCCGTAGGTGTTGCTGGAGCCTGTAGTTCCAGAGTGCTTTCCTCGGTTGTCTGTAATGGTACATCAAGTTAGTTATAGTTTTTCACAGTAGCTAGTAAATAGCAAGCTGAACTTACCGAGATCACTATCGACACGGGGGTCAAGCTTGTTGGCTAGCTTAGAGTCATGGGGGCCAGCATTGGTGGTGCTCGAGCCAGTGTTGGATGACCCATATCCGCCAGCTGTGTTGGATCCGTAGCTATCAGATTTGCTGCCGTAGCCTCCAGCTCCAGCACCAGCGGCAGCGCCTGTCGAGGCACCTGTCTCATAGCCGGAGCCAGAATTTAGGCCACCGGTTCCAGTACCACTGCCATAGCCTCCAGCACCGGTAGTTGATGCATTATTATAGCCAGCTCCAGAGCCAGAGCCATAGGTGTTGGAGCCTGCGCCAGTAGAAGTGTGTTTGCTAGGAGCGTTGTCCGTGGTGTTGTTTGAGGATCCGTAAGAATCGCGGGCATCTATATGAATAGAAGTGTTAACGTCACAGTGTAATGTCTCTTTATTAGGAACAACAAACCATCAATCTTGCTGCTGGATGTCTTGGATTCATCATGATGATGACCGGTCACGGCATCCTTGACTTTGTGAATAATGCTCGACATGATAGATGGTAAAATGCTGTGATGAAGTTGAAGTTGAAGTTTGAATGGGTTGTGTGAGTCAGATGGTTGTGTGCTGATTGAAAAAGGAAAGAAAAAGTGCTTCCAGTAGCGAGTTTATATGCTCTACGGGTCTTTGCTTGTCTTGATTAGATCATGAGTAGATAGATCTCTACTTGCGGAGACGAAGTGACGCCATAACGCGGGGGTTCCACGAGTACAATGTACAATTGCTGGTGAAACATGGATCAGAACCCTTTGGTTGTCCCGTTTACAGCTGTGATGACGTCCCAAACGGGTTTACACATCCAGATGAGTGTTCTTGGCTGAGAATGAGGAGAGCTATCAATGTCATCAATCGTCATGTCCCGGATCGACAAGACCAAGCACGCCACTGAGCTAAATCCATTGCAAGGATACCTTGTAGATCCGCCCGGCCATATGCCGACTAGGGTTTTATATTAAGTGGGCTTTTCCACAATTTCGTGCCAAGTATTCTCCAAGTTTAGCGTTGTTATACCATGGGAAATGCAAGGCTTAGCTATCAATTCATCTTATGGCTTCATCAGAAAAGTCTCTGGCGTTATTTGTACTCTACTCTTACAGAAGGTGTATTGGACATATCTAAGGCAAAGACTTTCTAGAATAATTTCTCCATTATACGCTAGTCCCGTTTTGGACAATATACGTCATAGATATCCCAGAGACACCTGGGCAGTTTCCAAGCTAATCCATATATGGTAAGTGGGACAAGATTTATCGATCGTCAAGTCCAAAAATATCTCACGGGTGTGCCTTAGTATTAAATTAAATATCGTAGAATGGGTTAGATGATTCGATCATCTACTACAACGTACAGTTTATAATATAGCTATTGTATTGACAACGCGATTCAAATCAAAAAATCAAAAAAAAGGCAGTGGATTACGTAGTTGCCTAGCAGTGCCCAGGTGACGGCATGATCGGCGGTGGTAGCTCTGGGTCGAGAAGCTTGGAAGAGGTATCAATCTATATCAAATCTACAATATATGTCTGTTATTGCGAGATCCAAAGAGGAGCAAGCAAAATACGTACCATGCCATCTTGTCAATATATTGTGCCATTGTACAAGTTGCAGTATTTGTTATAGTCCTTTAAATCGTCAATTTTTCTCTCACAATACTTGTTGGAGTCTTTTTTAACATATATTGTATCTTTCGACCTTGAAAGCACCTAGTGCTCTAAGTAAAGGGAAGAAAAGTGGTTAAGTAAGCCAATATAGCATCAAGCTCCAATATTGCTACCATTTTAAGGTCGTTTCCTTCCAATATTGTATGTTATACTTAATTGAGAGAGTCATGTGATTTGAGGCACAAAGGCTCAAATCATGCCTCAGGCTTACAGCACATGACACGGCAGGCATGCCGTCACCGACCCGGGGTTAGATAATCCACATCATGAGTTCATTCCCCTTCTCCACCTGACTTCACTTGCACTCACCTCTGTCAGTCTATCTTGACTTAGTTGTTCTCTTTGACTTGCCTTACACTCGCGTTGGTTTTAATCCGTCGACCTTTTTTTTCTTCAACCAGCCGTAGTGCTGCTCATTGCACTCGATGAGTGGCCGCCTGCTAGCTTGCCGCCAACTGTTGGATCGGTCATAAAGAGTCCACCCGAAGTACTGTGGTACAGCGGAGCCGCTGGCATCGTCAATCGTTCACACGATCCACCTCGTTTTACTGTTATTAGATATATCCGACCAAACCACTCTTCGATTAAAGTGGTAAAACCCATCTATCAGAGACATGCGACCGCCACGCCTGCTCATCGTCCTCTTCTGCCTTATCTTCTTTCCGATCCTCCTCACCTTCTTTTCTGCGCTTACATCGCCCGATGTAGCAACTCCTAATACGCTCGCTGGTCAGACAACTGGGCTGCGCGCTTTATTTTCTTTCAACATACCGTCGTCCCTTTTCCCTCCGTCGGCCATTATCAGTCTCACCGATGATAACTCGACCTTCTTCCTCGCCCGGCCAGCGGCATTTGGCCCGCTGCTGCCAACCAAAGGCCTCAGCGGTCAGTTATGGGTGGGAAGTGGGTTTGGCGAGGGAGGATTAGCTGGTGGTGTGGAAGGAGAACTGGGCTGCTCCGATATTCCTGGCTGGGGTGAGGGCACCAATCATAAGAAACAAGACAAAACCCCTAGGAGCGTGGAGCAGAGTTCCGGCATCTCCGGGGGTAGTACAGTGAATGATCAATCGTCAAACCGCCCACGGTCGGTGTCGCAGGCCGATACTACACCTCAGAACGATAGAGATGATTCAACCATCCCGCTCTTGACAAACGATGGCACCGACGATCATCTGCATCATCCCCTCCCTGAATCCGGTGCTTCTAACCCCGGGATGAATCAGAAGTATGGAGATTACGTCCAAAACAAGCCGCCTGCGCATGCCGACATCCAATCACTACAGGAAACTGCCGAAATCCAGGGTAAGGTGGTGCTGTTGAGTCGGGGTGGCTGTGGTTTTTTGGAGAAGGCCAAGTGGGCGCAACGACGAGGAGGGGTTGCTTTGATTGTCGGCGACGATACTCGGGGCGGCAACTTGGTCACTATGTACGCACGAGGCGATACATCGAACGTCACGATCCCGGCATTGTTCACATCCCACACTACTGCTCATCTTTTATCTTCATTGATTCCTGGACATGCCGGTGGAACTGCCAGTTTGGGAGATGTATTAAAATCATCACAAGCGAAGCTGGCAGGACAGGCTGATGCCGAAAAAGAACGGGTGGCAACTACTACAGCACCACCAACTATTCCAACTCCAACTGCCAGCAGCCATTCTACAGCCAAGGAGAGACCTTCGCCCTCGTCTCATTCGAAAGGCGGCTTTTTCCGTTCAATTGGTGCATTCCTGGGATTGTGCGATAAGAACGGAGGTTCGCGGCATTTGGAAGACAGCCGACGTCCGCCCAGCAGCGGCAACATTGACTGGATCAATCTAGGCTCACGGGATAAAAAAGAAGCCCCTTCGAGCGCTTGGAGGAGATCAACTGATCTCAATCACCGTGGTGGGGCCAATGTAGACGACGCATTCGACAGCCACAAGGCCGACATGTCCCCTGAAACTTTTGAGGATGATGACTTTGTCATCGGGGTTCAGGACTGGAGAGATCCCGACTTGATGCCTCCAAAGAGTAGCACACCTCCGACAGCTAGCACATCTGTACCTGGCAAGGATACCTCCAAGACTGTCAGTGCAGATAAAGATGCTGTTTCCTTGCCCAATGGCCTTCAGGGCGGTAGCATCACGCCAGGAAGTGGAGAATACCAGAGCATCGATAAATCCAGTGCGGATTCCCATGACACACGCCTCAAGGGGTCTGAGAAAGAATCCATCGGAACTCATGGGAAGTCTGGATCTTCTACAAAGGGCTGGTTCTCGAGTCACTTTGGATGGGGAGATGATACTCAACATGACCCTCAGCCTTCTTCGTCGCCTTCACTTCAGAAAAGCATTACAGTAGACCAGAAGATGGAAAATAGCCCTCACACATCGAGCCGTCTAAGCGCGGAGTCTTCTGAACACGAAGGTCTTTGGGTTACCATGACACCTACCAGCATGTCAACCAGCCCCTTTTTCGATACTTTATTGGTTCTTGTCGTCAGTCCTTTACTCACGCTGACGGTGGTTTATGCTCTTTTGCTGCTCCGGTCTCGAATCCGCCGCCGTCGCTGGCGTGCCCCGAAGTCGGTCATCGAACGACTTCCTGTCCGAACCTACCACACAATTGCTACCACTTCTTCCTCGTCTTCCAACTCAACGCGCCCCCCTAGTCCCGGTCCTCTATCCCCGACTTCCCCACTTCTTGGCAACGAAAGCCGGCCAAGCGCATCCCGATCAAACAGATCACGTTCACAAACATTCTCGGGCACTATGCTAGACTCATCTACCATGCCCAAGGAAGAGAAGTGCAAGATGCAAAACGGATCTACCTTGTGGCGACGCAAGTACACAGGAAGGCAGGTAGAGTGTGTCGTATGCCTTGAGGAATACATTGATGGCCAGAGTCGGGTCATGAGCTTACCATGTGGTCATGAATTCCATGTGGAATGCATGTAAGTGATATAAAATAATTTGGTCTTTGTTCTGACATTTTACTAACATCTTTTTTCAGTACCCCCTGGTTGACTACTCGTCGACGAACTTGTCCAATCTGTAAAGGCGATGTTGTCCGCTCGTTGGCCCATTGTCAATCCAGTGATTCTCGGTGTCATCGTGAGCAGTCCAATGATGACGTTCACTCCGCCCAGCCGATCTCTCGAGGCAGCGCATCTTCCGCTCCAGTACTAATCGAAGGAGCCAATGACGATACTTCAGATACAGAACAAAATGCAGGTCTCCTTGACGACCTTGCAAATTCTGCCCCACAATCAAGCTGGCGGAACCTGGCTACGCTTAGCTTTTCTGCTCTGAGCGGCGATACCATATGGCACCAGGCTCGCGCGGACCGTAATCGCTAACGTCTATATTCTATCACTCTTTTCGATTTCCTTTTTTTTAACCATTCCCCCCTCTGTCCTGTGGGATTGCTTTCCTTGTATTAAAGCATGTTGTATTAGCGGTCGTTTGGAGTTCCTTATAATTTGAATCTGCTTGGCGTTGGGTGAGAACAGTTCGGCGTGCTGGGCGGTTACAACATACCTACAAGCATTATTGATGCGGCTGGGATATACCGCGGGTCAATCATTCAAATCTTGTATGTGCTTATGTTATTTTGGTAGGATGGATATCTGAATTGATTCCATTAACGCTTGGTTGTCATCAACACTATTGCTATGCCGTGATCGTCTTTTTATCTGATATGTTGGCACTAATCACACTGTACACACTGTTCCTGAAGCTGTACTTATAATTGGTAGTAATCGAAGCTGTTCAGACTACATGTAAGCCCAAACGCTCAACCTCATTCCTTTTCAACATAGACATTCTGAGCAATATCACCAAACACATCAAGGGCATGAACCAACCGATCACGCACTAATTCAACACGAGGAATCATATCCCGTCCCAAAGGCAAGAACCCCTCACTCTCGCGCCCAGCGCCAGCCCCCTCGCCAACGATAACTTCATATATCGCCTTCGCAGCCTTATCCTTGTCGCCATCAGCAACAAGCTTACCAGTCAGTAAAACATCCAGGGTCTGTGCAGCCACAGATCCAGCATAGTCCACCGGTAAAGGGCTAGCAGGAGAACGACAACCGGTCCCGAACTGCGTGTTGAACACTCCCAGCCACACCGTCAGGAGACGGACATTGAAGGGCGCGACCTCTTTAGCGAGCACTTTACATAAACCTGCAGAATAGACATCGATACGTAAGCGAGAGCTCCCTCAACAGAAGATAAAAATGAGAACATACCATCCATAGCAGCCTTTGCCGCCGCATAAGCACCCATACTCTCCCTCCCCTCCAACCCAGCCCCAGAACTAACGTTAACAACAACGCCAAATCGCCTCTCTCGCATCCCAGGCACAACAGCTTTAATCAGCCGACTCGGTCCAAAATACACAGTCTCCATCTGGGCCCGCAGCTCCTCGTCCGAGAACTGCTCCACTGCACCAATGATCGCGTATCCGGCATTATTGACCAGCACGTCAATCTGGTGTCCTGCGGACTCGAGCTTGGATACCAGCTCAGATGCAGCGGTTGGGCTGTCGACGTCTAGTGTATGCCATTCGCCTCCGTTTTGGGTTATCTCTGATACTAGATCCGGGGTGCGAGAGGGTTGTCGTGATGTTGCGATTACTGTGTGGCCGTTTGATTGAGCGGCGCGTGCGAGCGAGAGGCCGAGGCCTGAGGAACACCCCGTTATTAGCCAGGTTAGGGGGCGGTTGGGTTTGATGAAGGTTGGTGTTTGTGTGGTCATGGCTGGTGCTTGTGTAGACATGGTGGTTTGTGGTGGGCGTTGAAGCGTTGAATGATAGATGATGAAGTTTCGACTCTGTGTCGTGGTATTGATTTGCAAGAAATTTAGAATAATGTCAGAATGGTAGCACGGCTCTTTTATACTTCTTTCTTGCTACTGCATTCCTCGGACTTAAGGTTGGCTGACGGAGTTAATGTAATCTCTACGTCTCAGCCTCGATACCCCCGGGGTTATGGTTGCATTTCCCAAGGATTTATGGTCTTTTTGGGGTAGAAACAGGACTTAGGATTTACTCCAATGCATGGTTGACAAAGATCATCGATTACTTGTTATCCAAGTCATCTCAGTACATTAACGGAGTACAACCTTAAAAGTAGTGAACATACCCAAATTGTCATGATTTCTACAGAGTAACTAAAATACAAAGCCCCAGCACCACAATCCATATAAACATACAAACCAAATACATATAAAGTGAATCCCGAAAAAAAGAACAAAAGTCAATGCAGTGTTAATGTTCAACGCGACCGCGGCACACACGACAAGCTACAACCGAACCGCCGGAACGGCAACGGCCTCAGCCTCTCACCGGGACAGCGAGGCATCTTCATCCCATTCTCGCACGGGGTAAAGTCCCACCACTCCATCCATTCAGCTCGAGGAATCACATACTCTCGGTGGCACACGGAGCAGGGTTGTCCACCCGCAGCGCGCACTTCCCTCGCTTGTCGCAGCAATGGCACAATCATCGCAGGATACTCGGCTAGCTCTTCGTCGGTGGTTTGCTCCAGGTAGGGAAGCTTGCTCACAGCGCGGAGCGCGACTTCGCGCATGGACGGGGCGTCGTTTACAGGAGATGTTGATCCTGATGGTGTGAGAGGTGATCTGTTGCGGGATGGGCTGTCTCCCATAGGAGTGCCCTCCATGTTCATGTAGGTAATTGGGCCTGTTGCGATATGGAGAGGGGACCAGCCCTTGCCGAGAGAAGATTCCTGTTCTTGGAATTCGAGTGGAGGAGATGAAGCCTCGTCATTCTTCATTCCCTTTTCATTGGTTGGTGCGTTGTGCCATTCTGCGATCTGCGCTTTTTCGATTGGGAGGAATGGGTTCGGGCGGACGGTTAGGTGTTTTAGTTCGCCCTGTTGCATGAGTTTGAGGAGCTCCCAGGGAAGGTAGGACAATTGATTGACGGAAAGGTTTAACACCTCCAGTGCTGTCAGTCTGCGGATTGTAGACGGGATTTCGGTCAGCTTGTTGTTTCGCAAGCTGAGGACTTTGAGGTGGGTGAGCTCGAAGAGATCGTTGTGCAAGGCTGACAGAGAGTTGTTGGGGAGATATATGCTGAGGAAGGGCTGCAGAGATGTGAAGACATTCTCCGAGACTGGGGCTTCCTTGACTGATGGAAGCTTCGTTAGGTGCTGTAGAGGTCGTAGGAGACCCGGTGGTATGGTTACCAGATGGAAGTCGCTGTGTAGAAAAGAACTATTAGGATCATTGGCTCGAACAAAGGGGGTATCAGACGAGACTACAACATCAAATAAAAGGGCAATTAATACATACCCTAGATCAATGCTCTCATGTCCCTTATCAAGACAATCGCCGACAACCTGCCGGGCAAACCGATGAGCATCGGATTCTTCGGGACTTTTAAGCACAACACGATTCTGTGTAGGCATGTTCTCGGTCTCAACGGCGAAGGGTGTAGAACTTCCAAGTTTTCTAGGATCAAGCACAGACTTGCGCAGGTCTTCCCCCCACGCCGAGCCATCCTCTGACGGCAAAAGCGATTCAGCGCCGGACTCATCACTCCCCATCCAAACACCACTATCAACATTCCTCTTATCCTTAAATTCCGCCCGTTTCCGCTTGGGGTCTGGCACCTGCTCCCCCCACCAAGTCCCACGATACCGTCGTTTGCGACCCGCGCCTGACACCGTCGCATGGTAGTTCTCCAGCCCGGAAGCCGGTATATCGTCACTGGAGAAGAGCGCAGGATCACTTGATGGCTGACTGGAGCGGTCATCGAAACGCGACAGTCGCTGCGTGCGCTGGAACGAGGAGACCGCTATACCTGTTGCCGAGGGGTTCGCGTTCGCGGGCGAGCGGTGCCGGATTCGCCGCGGCGGTGGGAGGGGGATCTCGCTGTCCATTGCGATTTTGGTTCGCGGGTTCAGACCAGTCTCTTGTGATTATCGGCCTGGCTCATTGGGTTTATATTCAAACACGGTTTTATGTGATGTTCGAGTGGAGGAGTTGCGCGACGCGTTGTGGAGACCCGCGATGAAGAGCTGCGGGTGTCAACAAACGCGCTAAGATGGCGCGATTGGGGAGATAAGGGTCTAGGATCCGGGATCAATTGAGAGATCTCCTATATTTTTGAAAAGAAGAACGACCTAACCACCTGCATGCCCGGTTGGAATGGAGATCAAAAGATAAGATCAGATCACACGTGCACGGGCATATCAGTTGACCCCGGAGCTCACGGCTTCTCCACTGAAATGTTGGATCGGCATGATCTTCTCTATTCTTTTTACTACGTTGCTAATACCGGGGTTTGCAATTGGAATGTTTGCAATTGGAATTTGGTATCAAAGGAGAGAAGAAATAAAGTGTCTATATTCTGTGGATGTCCTGGATATCAACCAGACCAGTTCGACTAGTAAGTCACCCACGACAACGTATATGGACAAACGAATTGAAATGAACAGGGTTTGAAGAAGAGAATAATAACAGCATCAACTCATATCGGTCCACAAAGTCATAAAGAAATGAAAAAAGAAATGGGGGTATTTGAAAAAAGCGTTAAACCGTTTCCTCTCCAAAAATTGGGTTTTCAGCCAACCGAGAGGTATAGAAATGTTAAAAGGTATAAGAAGAAATAAAAGAAGAAGATCCCGGCTCTGCTAGAGATGAACGGTAATCAACAAGGCAGCAGTCATGCAGTATGAATTGAGCGCAGTATTGGCCAATGGCTCCAAGTCATGATCGTTGCCTGCGTGAAGGCTTCTTGTTGACCAGTCGCGACATCGCGAGTGTGATTATAGGGCCTGGCCCACCATCACAACGATATATCCGGCGGCGGCCAAGGCAGCTGGCATGCCAGCGCCAATGTTGGTCGCTGCGCCGGTGGAGGTAGCGGCAGCGGCAGCAGCAGAAGTAGTGGAGGCGGCGAGGGACAAAGGAGTCGATGTTGAAACAGACATGGTGGTCAAGTTGCTCGCGCTGGAGCCCGCGCTGGAACTCACACTGGAATTAGGAGTTGGGGTCACAGAATTGACCCGAACCAGAGTCTTGGTGATGGTCATGGTTGCGGTTGAGGTAGTGATCTCCTCTGCGGCGACGAATGGAGCCGCAACCAGGCAGAGGAAGGCGATGGCAGTAGTGAACTTCATTTTGTGAATTGATTCGAAAGTGAATATCACTATGGAAGAGGGAGCAAGGTGATTGAATCGGTTTCAAGGTTTGTTGTGAAACGTTGGTGCGGCTCAAAGTAAGAGTACTTGGAGAAGAGATATGTTTCAGATTTCAACGCAAAAGAGTGAGCGTCAAAAAAAAATCGAATATAATGATTGTATAGAGCGCTGCTCAAACAGTATAAAACGAGTGACTGGTGAAATGAGTGTATATATGCGAAAAATCTCTAATGCACCTAAGGGAAAAAGGGAAAAGGAAATTTTACCAGGTGGCAATGCAGGCTAAATAACACAGACACGAGCACGTCTCGAACCTGGGGAAAAGGAACCATTCGTCCATCAAAGAAGTCTTGTGGCACTTCTGTTTTTTTTTCCCTTGTTTTTTTATATTATTATTGATTTTCAAATGAAAATATGATGATCCTATTGGCCCCTTGAACACGCGGACCCTGGCGCTATCCAAGATTGGGCTCCATCCCAAACCGAACTATGATATTCGAAGCCCTAAAAGCCAAAGGGTCTTCCGCACAGACTCTTGACGCCAGGGGTCAAGTCTGTGATTATTCGTATTGATGTAGTGAATTGCTAACATGTTTGCCATCTCACTTGATCTCGTAATTTCAGGGAAATCCCGAGAATTCGCCTTCACTTGGCCCTATAGCCCCGTGTCCCCGAGGTGCAGTTAATACGAGAAATTCTTCGCCTAAGTATACTCCATATGGTGTAATTTCGGCATTTCCCAATCACAGCCTAATCACAGCCTAGGAAATTTCCTTATTCAACATTTGCGAACCCGGTTTGGTCTCGGGGAAGCGCCTTTGCTTACTCCATACTTTGCTTGAACTGGCCCAATTTTACCCACTTTGGTGTTATGCTGTCATGCTGTTTTGGTGATTTTGGTTTTATTACCCCTAGAGTGATAGAATAACGATTCTCACTGGGCATCACAGACTACTGCAAGTGCTCACTCCCTCGCGGGGACTTCCGCCCTTCCGCCTGTTCCGGGCCCCTGACATCATGCGCAGGAACAATGATCTGAGATTCGGTGGAATCTTAAACATAAACAATAACAGACAATTCGTGAAGTATTTGGCTTCTTGATCTGACATCTTGCCTTGAAAAGTGATTCCGGTAGTGCCCCCTCCCCCGGTTAGCCGATATTGGAATTTACCTCAATTTGCCCCAGTTCCCACACTATTGAGAAAAGACTTTTTCTTTCTACAACATATATTCCGTAAGGCTCTGTGGATCATTTCCGTGGTTCCATTCAGGAACGAAAAACGAACGATCATCGCTCGGGCCTACTGTGTTGGGAATCTCTGCTCCGGAGCGTAATCCGGGGAGGAACGGTGAGTCATTCCATGTTGTTCACTCATTTATATTATTATCAGTCGTAGTTATACATATGTTGTACATTGTAGCGGACACGTTCTGTGTGTTGGCATGAACATGTCATTGTTGTAAGAGGGGTCTTTTCGAGGGGCTCTGGACTCTTTGGGCTCGCAAAGCCCTGCGTCCGTACCCACTTCGAACACGACCTCAAGAATACAACATAAGAAATATGACAAGCTATACTCTGTCCTGTCGATCGACATGAAAATTTTAAGATGATCATTATCCACTCCATAGCCCGTATCCATCCGTCTAAGGTCATTTGGACAAAAAAAAAAAAAAGGAAGGGAACAATGGAAACCAACTAAAAAAGGGGTGGCTCACTCTTTTTCCTCTCTGGCTTCGTGCTCAATCTCACATTTTTGTTCAGTGGCATTGCATGTGTAGGGTCCAAAACAAGGGCGAATAGACGGCGGTTGGTTGGTCAACAGAGGCCTAGGGGTTGGTGTCTCATAAATGAGGCAAGGAACTTGAAGGTGAAGGTCTTAAAACAATCGAATTAAATCTAATAAATTGTGTTGCATTCATTCTCTGTTGTTAAAATGCTTTTATGGCTACTGCTAGTATCTACTTGGGTACTTGTATATAAATCTATGCTTCGGAAATAGTAGTTTTTGACTACTACTATAATGGCTGGATAGGATATATGTCAGTTTCTAAGTACATTAGACTCATCTAGCACAGAGGACGAACCCGTCGCCTTTGACCAAATGATTCCATACGTTGTAGATCTCAGGGTAAAAAGTGTATATAGTATTAAAGCTCAAGCCTATCAAATTGTCAATTTCATTAGTTCCATCTTTTTAAATTATCTTCCTAGACTTGTCATTTTCAATCATTCCAGTTCTCTCTCCTACAGCGCAGGCTTTCCACCAATACCCCCGAACTGATTCTGCCAGAGGTTCTGATATCTTCCGCCCTCCTTCCTCAGCAGCTCTTGATGTGACCCGCTCTCGACAACTTGACCCTCATGCACAACAAGGATCCGATCAGCGCTGGAAATAGTTGAAAGCCGATGCGCAATGACAAATGTAGTTCGCTTGGCTCTCAACCTGTCCAACGCAACTTGGATATCCGATTCGGTGTTTGAATCTACGGCGCTCGTTGCTTCATCTAGCAGGAGAATCGGCGACTTCTTCAGGAAAACTCGAGCAATGGCTATTCGCTGTAGTTCACCGCCAGACAACTTGACACCTTGCTCTCCGACTGTGGTGTTGTATCCGTCCACGAAAGTGAGGATTTTCTCGTGAATAGCTGCAGCACGACATGCTTCATGCACCTCTTCATCCGAGGCCGAGGGCCGGGCATACCGCAAATTTTCAATGATAGATGCGTTAAATAAGACAGGATCTTGCGGGACGACGCCAATAGTCTGGCGTAGCGAGCTGAGGGTTATGTCACGGATATCTTGGCCGTCAATCTCGATTTGGCCAGAAGTAACGTCGTAAAGTCGGAGAAGAAGTCTAAGGATGGTTGTCTTTCCTGAACCAGTCATACCGACCAGTGCAACTGTTGTCCCAGGTTCGATAGAAATATCCACATCCTCGAGGTTCTTTAACCGAGAATCATAGGCAAAATCAACATGGTGGAATGAAACACGGCCATCGCCAGGTTTCAGTGGCATGGCCCACTCCCTGTCATTGACGCTGGGCTTGGATTGGAATAGGAAGAGTAGCCGCTCAGCATCAACTAGATCAGAAACAAGCCAGCGATATTGCGCGGAGAGATAAGCCAAAGGAGAAACGAGCGAAGACCAATACTGAATGAAGAAAACAAAGTCTCCCGTAGAGGAACGCCCCACAGAGATCTCGTGTACGATGAGTGAGGAGAGACCAACGAAGCAAATTGGCTTAAGCAAATCAAGGAGTGACTTGCCAATTGCTCGGCGTTGACCGAAACGGGCGCTGGCCTTTAGGCATAGGTCAACTGCTTCCCCGAAGCGAGATCTCTCATACGAGAACTGGTTGAAGTATGTAACAGTTTGCCAGCCTTGAACAGCCTGATGCATAATGCGAGTTTCGTTTCGCTGTGTCTGTGTAACTTCACGTCTGGCGTCCATGTTCCAGTTGGAGGTAAAGACCTCGGCTGCAACATAAGCAATAGATACTATAACCACCAGAAGGGACGCGTAGACGTTGAACTTCAAATAGAAAACCACACATGCAATAGCCAAATCAGCCACAGTCGGGACGATATCTAGAATGGCAACTTCTAAAAGATTGTTCAGCGCTCCACCTTGGTCGATAGACTTCATAACTTCTGCCGAGTCATTTTCAATATGAAAATCCATTGACAGATTCATCACATGGTTGAAGGCAGCATTGGTGATCTGACGATAAGAAAACTGCCTGATCGGGATCTTGACAAGGGACTCGATCAATCCTAACCCAGCTCCGCCGCGGATCAGCTGCAGCAGCGCCCATTTTCCTAGTGAAGCATACGGGGCTTTGTTAGCAAAGATGCTATCAGTAACATCTGCTAGTTGCTGAGGAATGAGAATATTCAGTGCTCGGTGGCATACTAGGCAGAAGATGCTGGTAACGATACAAAGCTGCACTTTGCGATTGTTTCTGGGGACCAAATAGGGCAGAAAGATCGAGAAACCTTTCAAATAATCCCACCAGCCCCCAATCGACTGCAACTTCTCATTGCGAAGCCTCTTCCTGCGCGCAGCTGCATCGTTCTTATTTTTAGCGGTGTCCGACTCGCTATCGCTCTTGGAGTCCACACTGCTATTATCCGAGTCGTTGCCATTCGCTGCGCCATATCTTGCGTGGTTACCATTTAGAAAAGGGCGCGACTCTTCCGAGGTCTTTTTCTTCCTCTGTCTGGTCTCAACTAGAATCGCAGTTGCCACAAAGACAAGCAAGGCAAGTCGGACCGCTGAGATGGTGATCTGCGTGATTGGTACCCATTGTCTCGGTTTGGGACACAAGGATAGCGCAAGGAGTGGACCTTCAAAACCAGCGGTGACCAAGGATGCTCCAGCCACTTCGTAGTTGGAAGGATTTTGTCGCAGCCATAGTACAATCCATACAACCGCTTGAGAGGTCACATGCACCAGGAACGGCTGAGAACTGTCCAAGTCATCGGTGGCGATTTTCAAAACCGTTTGACTGACATATGTGAAAACGATCAAGACAGACAAGATAACTCGGGGTCGACTGCGACGCTTGGAGCGGGTCTTTCTTTTCTTTACCGGAGCGCGATTAAATAAAACGCAGATCACAATGTAGAGACTTGCTATCAAAGTACAGCTATAATGAAGGGCCCGAGATGCTAGCTGAGTGGACATGATGGGAGGTGGGACGGAGGCTCAGTTGACAAACACTCCCTAGCAGAGGTCCTAGCAGAGGTGGTTTCTTATATATTCCTCAAATTTGAGCCGCATTCTTATATTCAGACCTCAGGTGTCAGACCAAAAGACTCCTCATTGGATAGCTATCAAACGGTTCATCATGCGCAATTGTTATTCAAAGCTGCCTGTGACAGGGTGGCTGGGGGAAGAGTGTCCTAGCGCCGCCTATCTAAACAAAATTAGGCTGTGATCTTAGGCCTAAGGGGGCAAAAATGCTTCATTATTGGGCAAATATGGGAAATCTGTAGACCGAACTAGAATCCACCTGCTTACACCGTAGGTTTGCTGTTCCTCAGTGCATTGATTGGCAAGCAGGCATGCCTTGCTACTTAACTTTGTCCTCCGTGCAGTGAGCATATAAGGGGCTGACAGTATTTTCGGTGACTCGTTTGAGCACACGGAATAAAGTAGTAAACCTGATTCTGATTATAGCACTGTAATATCTACCGAGCATTCTGATGTTATTATTATACAGCGACCGTACTTGTGACGTCTAGTTGCCTCCATTGCCCATACTCTGATATTGACCCTTCATCCGGGCACAGCCTACCTCTATATATACAAAGTTCGACTTACCTGCTTACTTGCATATATTAAGCCAGATAGTATGATTCCCAACTTGAATAACCTAGTATTAAGTCTCTAAAGTCCCCGAGATCGGCTGAAACAACAATCCAACATTCATATCTGCATCTTGTTTCGGGATTCACCGGATAAACAGAAGCAAACAGAAATGAATCACTGGTACAACTATCTGTTCGGTGGCAGATTACAACCAGAGGCCAGAGGTGACTAACAAAAAAAGCTTGAGAGTAGACTTTTCTATAGCTTAGTGATTATGATCAAGGTAGGGCAGAAAACAATGGCATGTCATTATAGACGAAGATCTTCGGCACTTCAAGGCTTATAGCCTTGAAATACTGTTTAGTCTGGGTAGTGGAGCCTGAAACAAAATAGATGTCAGTTCAACCATCAAATATGACAGTTGACTGCGGCTTTATTGGAAGTTTGGTGATTAAAGTGGTCAGATTCGGAATCAGCCACATTCCTTGCCCTTACTTTGAACCTCAATCAACAAGGGCAGTCAGACTGGGCCATACATAGGGATCCTTGGCCAGGTAAATTGATATCCCTTTGAGCTGGATGAACTCTCCCAATAAGAGTTATATGATTGGCCTCGTTCCTATAGCTCTGGAGGGGAGTTTCCTTTCCAATGATATGACTGGATCGTGGAAGTTAAAAAGAAAGGATATATTTTCACAATAACGCCTAACATGATTGGAAACAACTGAGACAATTGAACTTCAACATCCATGTTCTGGGTACTGCTAGATTATATACATCGCGTGCTGAAGTACCAAGTACCCATGAACCTGTCCGTCCCAGCCATATTTGGGTAGTTGTCCTGTCTCTTCAAACCACTAGAAAAAGTATCTCTTAACCATAGAGATTATATCGTACAAGGGACGTCGCCAGGGAGTGGTCATGTCGCATGTTTCCCGAATAGTCTTGAGACTGTGAGAAAATTGTGTTTACTGGCGCATAGGCCGGAGGGGGCTCTGTCGGGGGAGCATCATCGGGGGTCCTCGAGCACGGAGCCAGGCATCGTTTTGAGGTCCTTCAGAGCGAATGACACTGCCGATGGACATGAAGAGTCTATTTGAAGAGAAATTGATTAGCTAGGAATTCTAAACCAAAGTGGTATGACTTGTAAGCTCAAGGAGTTAACCATACCCGAAAGTGGCACCTGAGCCCAGCATGTATTTGCCCAGGGTCCGCATCACACCGTTAGGCCCAGCGCCATACTGGAAGATCGTCACAGTTCCTGCTCCCTGTTAGCTTATACGGCACTTCTTCATTTGGAGACTGAGTGGGACAAACCGATAATGAAACCCATGATGCCACCAACAGCTGAGAGGGGAGCTATGTTAGATAGAAGCTCTTGATGAAGGTTTGGTTGGTTTGCGATCACGTACTGGAACCCATCATACAACCCATTTTCACTAAAAAATCGTCAGCACATTATGTTCAACATATATAGCGCGTCCCAATAAGAACACCAAGCGGAGTGTGATCTATATCACTGGGTTGTAGATGACATACTCTTGTCAAAAGTTGAGGGAGCACCCCCTGGGCCCGCTTGAGCGGGAGGACCAGCAACGACAGGCATTATGGAAAGCTAAAAAGAAGTTTGTAAATTAAAATTAAAAACAGTCAACAGCTCCGAGCTGAATAAGAGATCCCGATGTGATAGTCAAGGAACGAGCTCTTTTTCCTCCCCCGGCTTGATGCTTCTCCGCCTTGGTCACGTGAGTCCAACGGGCTTTAAATTGCGCACGTGCCTATAAATCACGTGACCTATTTTGCCTGGCAGCGTCAAGGGAGTAGGAAACTGGCCATCTTGCGCTTTTGCCATGGGTTCCCTCATGGCAACTATCCTCGATCTCTGATTTCTTTTCCGTTACATCTTTTAAAGGGCTGCCTGAAGCCTGCACCGAGGCGGCAGTCCCGTCTTGTGCTTCTATCATTGCCCTGGCGTGAGACCGGTCGCTCACGAGTTCCGACCTCCACACACAACTCCTTGGTCTTGAAGCACCTATTTTATTCAGTTCTAGATATCTCTCAGTTCACAATTCAGAAGTGAGTTCACTCTTTACTCCAAATATACAACTATTTTTTGTGGGGTCGAGGCAAGACCTCGACCTAGGAGCCAATTTATTTGTCTCTCCCCCAAACAGCACTAACGCGACCGTCTTCATTTTAGTCGGGCGACTAAAGCTCCAATCACCCTTGCGCGCATTCAATATCCCCAACCCTCAGGCATAAACCAAACATTACTAGGCGTCTCGTTTTCGCCCTTCAAACTACCTCAGAATACGGCCCCTTTTACAATTCGCAGCTGTGGACGCGCTCCGTGCTCCGTCTAGATATTCGATTACCGTGAACCATTCGCATCCTTCTCCATGACTGCTGTGGCATCTCCACCTAGTGTTGAATCGGGGTCTCGCTTGGGATGGTACAGTTCTAGCAACGGGGGAGAAGGAGCTCTGTCTTCAGTGAATGCCGACGACGTGTCACGGATGTTCATGCCACGGAAACACGTTCAACGTTCAAACTCCTCTTCCTCTCTGGGGTCGAACTCTTCGACTTCCTCCACGTCTACTGTGGCCGCCCCTTCCCAAGATACCCATGCCGCGCAGAATTCCGCCAGCGAATTAGAGAATTGGTCATCAAAAAAGAAGTATTCGAAGAATATCTGGCCTAGCTCGAAATCCGAGCCGGTATCAGGGGTAACGAACGCGCGATCTCAGGCAGTGCCTGCCTTCTCGTCGGGCCCAAGTGCGTCGTCGACAATGTCCGCAATGCATCAGCCTTCGAACATCGTCCCATCGCAACAGATGCCTCAGTCGTCGCAGCAGAATGGCATCCGTGCGCCAACCGGCCCGCCGTCGGAGAACCCAGCAATTTTGATTCTGTTGCCAATGAACGGCACCTTTGACAGGAAACAAATCAATGTACCATACTACCCCGAGGTCCTGCGAATCGGGCGACAAACAAACGCCAAAACAGTGCCCACCCCTCTCAATGGATTCTTCGACTCCAAAGTTCTCTCTAGGCAGCATGCTGAGGTATGGGCCGACAAGTCTGGCAAAATCTGGATCCGAGACGTCAAATCCTCAAACGGCACATTTGTGAACGGTCACCGGCTGTCTCCTGAGAACCGTGAGTCAGAGCCGCATGAATTGCGAGAAAGCGATACCCTAGAGCTGGGTATCGATATTGTCAGCGAGGATCAATCCACCATCGTCCACCACAAAGTCTCGTCTAAGGTTGAACATGCCGGAACCTATGGCACTGCCCCTAATATCCTTGATCTAAACTTCGGGGACTTGGATCCTGCCTCCGGGGGTGGCCTTCTCCCTTCTCCCTTGAGTCAACCGCTTTCTCATATGCGCGGTCGAGCCGGTAGCAACGCGAGTAACAGAAGTGCCCAGAGTGTTACCAGCAATCAGCTCAATGCTTTACATCAACAACGACAAATGAACTACTGGAATTCGCCAATCTCTATAGAACAGGTCGTCAAGCGGCTCACGGTACGAATCACAATTTATCTTAATACTACATATTGCTGACTTGTTCTAGGGCGAGCTCAAATCCGCAAAGCAACAAACAACAGATCTTTCTCATGCAGATGAATTTTTGACGACGATCATGAAACCAGGCTATGCAGAGAAAGAAAAGCTTATTAAGCCATCACCTTTGGAGAATAATGTTCATCGCCAAATGAATGGCCGGCCTAAAATGCCTCGGGTCGACTCCTTTTCAAGGTTCTCTGATCCTCCCGCGCCTCCTCCTCAACAGCCTCTGCCGGAGAAACCCGATGCGTTGTCACGAAGCGCCTCTGAATCGTTCTCGCCGCTGAAGCGCAGCGATACGGAAAAGCCGAAGAGCGGGACAGGTTCCCCTGTCTCCCGCGATTCCAGTCAGATCTTGAATCTCATTGAGGCGCTATCGTCCGCCAAGCGAGAGATTGAAACCCATGGAACACGTGTCAAGGAACTAGAAACTATGCTGTTCCAAGAGCAGGCTGCTCGCAAATTGGCAGAAGACAAAGTCAATGAATTGGAGATGCGCTCATTGGATGTTAAAGAAGTCAACGCCGAGAACGGCATTCTTCCACCTTCGGAGAGTGGTGTAGATGGAAAGAAGGGGCAAGATGATATAGAAGCAACCGTGCAGATCAACGGCATCCATCCTTCGGAGACTCCCACTCCCGACGATAGCCAGGCAGACGCTCCCGTGGAAGACAAGAGTGCTGAACTTCAAACTCGCTTGGAAAGTATGATGGAGGAGATGGCAGAGATGAGAAAGCAAATGGCATCCTTCAAACATCGCGCCGAGAAGGCTGAAGATGAGACCACGGAGTCTCGCAAGTCGTTGAGCGAAATGATTGAAACCTTACGCCAGGAACGCGCCGAGAAGGCATCAGCCACGGCGCTTGATAAGAAAATCGACCGCGAGCCAAGCAATGGCTTGGCTGAACAGTCGCTTACGAGCGATGATACTCTAACGGATTCTAAGACGAAGACTTCATCGATGCAGGGCTTCGATCCAGTTGCCTCGCAGAACAAGGACATGGATGCTGCAGCTGCAGCCACAGTATTTGCAACACAACACCATCGATACAACTATGTGGAAGAAGTAAGTCCCTACGCCTCTATGTTTGGCGTGGTCTTATTGGGAGTAGGCCTGATGGCCTATCTCAACGGTTGGCAAAAGATGGACAAATAAACCAGCTTGCCCTCGCGTGCTACTTCTGGGGCTCCTTGTTCTTTTGATGGCTATTTCTATTGCATAGGCCCTTTGCATTATTTGACTTTTTGTCTCCTATCTTTCTCATCGGAATTCAGTTTTCGCTCGCCAGTCACGACTTTCTGGTGATGAATGTCCTGGTTCTGCTCTCGGTTGAGGACCATTTTCTTGTTTTCATATTCGGAACTTCTTCCCTTTAGCCCACACTGTCTCTTTTATCTCACGAATTTTTTGATGACTTTCTCGAGATCACTCTCAGGGATCTCCTTGGTCGTCTTTTTCGACGTCCGTTCCTCCCCCTCTTTCCTGCCGTCTCCTTTCTCTTCGTTCTTCTTCTTCTACCTCTTACTATGTTACTATTAGCCTGTCGCCCTCTTGGGAGTCGACACCTCTCTTTCTCTTTTGTCTGTACATGATGGGGAAAATCAAGATACGTTCATGACTTGCAGCCTCTCTTTGAGACGTTTCGTTCGATGAAAGGTTTTCAGGCATTATCATTCATCATGTCATGTTAGCACAGACAGGACTTTGTGAGCGTATCAAGGAGTTTTTATTCGTACTATTTCGTTTTTTATTCATGCCATTTGTTTCTCGCTGGCAGATTTGATGATCCAGGCCCGCCTTTTAAACCTCTTTTTTTATTGGAGTAGTACTGTTCTCATATAGTCCTCTCTCACTCTCTTTCGTTTTTCATACAAGTCTGTCCCGCATCTATAGCGCGTTGGGTTGATTTCGAGATCGGGTGGAGCATGTGCTTTGGGTAAATCAGAGTTTATTTCTTAAGGGCAATCTCGATATACGTGATTTTGTGCTAGGCTAATAACCTAAGGACAAACGAATTGTTCCTTTCCTGATCCTGCTCCAGGGCCTTCGAGCCTGTGTAATTTCCATATTGCACCTGTAAGATATTTGGCACTTGGGATATGCAAGTGATGAAGGGTGGTAAGAGGACGCCCTCGAATTGAGGCTTGGGGGTTTGGCTACTTCCACCAGCAATATCCTAGAACAGGAATTCAGGATAAGAAGTTTTCTGAGCTGGGTCACTGGGCGGTGTATGTCACCATGAGCGTTCCGTTTGGATCGCAGTCACTCAGCAGGATGTGTGCACTCAATGTCCTAGCTGGCAATGCTGGGCTTGGCCACAGGCTCATGACAATGGCTATTCCAGCTATGGGTGTGGGGTTTGCAGTCAAACTTGTCAGATCAGCAGCCGATGATCGTGCAACCGGATAACCGACCATCGTAGGGGGATTTATCGCAATGATCGTAGGCGAATTCACTTGAGGCTGACGGCGACCTCAACCATTTTAATCCATCTCGTCCGACTCTCGGGCAACTCAGCGTCATCTTCGGCCGCGGCAGCCTGACGTTTCCTCTTCTTTGCGGCTGACTTGGATTCCGGCTTAGAAGCCGCATCTCCCTGGTCGGTTGGGATTTGCTCTTCCTGTCGTTGTCGTTTCTGTTCCTCTTTTGCTTTCATTTCTTCGTCCTCAACGATATCATCCACAACAACCACACTCCCGGTATTGACACGGACTGTGTACTCGGTTCCCTTTTCCTCGAACCATTTGGCTACATTCAACGCCTTCTCGATAGCCCGTCCTGTCGCCTTCACAAAGACTTCCTCTCGCTTCTCTGATACCTTCGACAGTTCCTCGAGTATTTGTTTCTCATTCTTGCGCGTGTCCTCAAGGTTGATGTTTGCGGTGGCACGCTTCTCGGCCTGCAAGAGGAGTTTCTGGACGCGCTTGACAGCGCTCATGAACGGCGTGGACTTGGAGACATAGACAATCTTAGGCACCGATGCGCCGGCATACGGGGAGGCGACTGGCGCATGAGGTATAGGGCGCTTCTCGACTTTGGCATCTGTTATCCAAAAGTTAGCGTTTGTGATCTTTAGTTCCTAGCATTGGCCATTTGACCCCAGGCGTTCGGATGGGAAGGCTCACGTTTTGGGAGTCGGATAAGGTCTTTGTTCTTTTTCTCGAATTGGAGCTTGCTCTCCAGTGACCCCTTTGCCATGGCTGATATGTGCCTTGCACGAATGAAAAGTGCAGAGCCAAGTCAAAGTATTGAAGCTGTGCATCTTATCGTCTGCCTTTTTCTGCCAGGCGGGGCCGATATGACTCGCTTATGTCATCATTTGTTTACCCCATCTACAGATGCGGACCTGCCTAACCGGGAAGCTACTATATCTACATCGTAGACCGGCAAAGGGATACCTAACCCCCTCACCAATTCGACACCAACAGCTTGGCCCATCTATTTAATTAGACTTATGCACTTGTGGGTGTATCTAAAAGTAAAAGAGAACACCAAGCGGTTCCCTTCGGCAAAGCTACAGAAGGCCGGCGCGCCCTGTCCTATCTATCTATTAAAAAAGGCAAGGCCAACTTAACTTGATACATTATGAGCCACATTAAGTGGGCTTATTCGTACAATATGTTTTAAAGTGGAGAGTATCGATATGAATAGGCAGTTCCTCCTATATTGTAGATACCTAAGGGGACCATCGGATCTAAAGTATAGAATATATATTTATAGCTTCAAAAGGTACAACCTTGCAACCTCTTAAGACTTGATTAACTCGCTCTTACGCTCTTATCAGGGACAGGGAACGCCTCCGAAACTTTGATGATAAGGCTCTCCCCTCATTTAAAGACGGGACAATTCCGCTCCTTTTCATTCCCTTTCTTGACATAAAGCACTCGTAAATTGAAACTCCAACAATGGAGGGACCTTCAAAACCCAACATCCGACGAACACGATCAGGATGCTGGAACTGTAAAAGTGAGTCTAGATCGAATCGCTTGTCATCGAGTTTCTTATTGCTGACTGACCGTAGAACGACGCCGAAGATGTACAGGTACGTCTCACAGAAATATTTATAATCAGAGAAAGAGCTAACTTTGGGATACAGAAGACAAACCATCCTGCAAGGGGTGTCTCAAGCGTGGACAAGAGTGTCACTATGGCATCCGCCTGCTGTGGGAGGATGAAGCCCAATCAATGGGTATTGCTTTTGGTAGATCCGGCATGAAAGATCGATTCATGAAGACGAAGATCAAGTCCACAGTCGAGCATTACTTTCTTCCTGTGAAATCCCACGCCTCTCGGTATTGGCTTACTACGACATCGGATGATTTCCGCTTGCTCTACGAGGGCTGCCCGGATACACGACCGACAATACAGATTTATGATATGAATCGAGAAATGAGTGCCGAATATCTTGTCCCAAGGGATACTTTCCCCCTGACTCTATGTCACCACCCTTCTCTCGAGGAGGCTGATAATCTTCTCTTTCACTATTGTTGGTTTCCTGCTACTACTACCTTAGAGTACTCGCGAGTATGCATCGTTATGCTAACCATTTCGAAGTCAGTAATATCTGCACCCTCCGCCGATCCTTGACGGACTCCGAAAACCCATGGCGATCAGTTCTACTTCCAATGTGTTTCCAATCAGACGGCCTCTTACATATTGCCATCGCATGGGCCGCACACTCCCTCCGCAACCAGTGTGATAATCGAGATATACATAAATACGACCAAATGATCCTTAAACACAAAGTCAACTCTCTCAAGCACCTCCGTGACATGTTACCCAAAGACTACAACGACCAGACACCTACAGTCTTTCCAGCCCGCACCCGAAGCGAGCGAGATAGTCTCCTCCTCCTCGTGATGTTTCATTGTCTCCTAGAGATCGCCAGCGGAAGTGTTGTGGAGTGGACGTACCACATGAAAGGTGCTATTAGAATTATGAAATTCTACACGACTAACTGCTCATCTATGCCTAGGCGGGAAATCTTCAGCAAAGAGGTTCTTGAGCTGGTTTATACGTTTTTCATTGAGAAGAATATTTTCCTCGGCACTTGCCTGAATATCTCCAATGAGGGGGAAGATTCCCTTGATGGCATCCAGTGGTCAACTGAAGTACCTTCCGTGTTCCCTTTTCTTGCGGGTCGTGGACGCATGGAAGTAAACCCGTGTATGGGGCTGTCTCCTGAATTGTTGGATATCATTTTCTGTATAAGTGATGGTGCCCGGAGACGACATGTAATAGGTCACTGTTTTGATGACAACGACACCAACACAAGGCAGATATTCGAAACTATACAGCAGCGGCTTCGTTGTATTAAACCCACCGAAAAGTCAAACAGCAATCAACTAATGGAGCTACACTCTACCGCATTCGAAGAGGCGACTTGGATCTACCTATACCATGCGATTAAAGGTGAGCCTTGTCAGAGTGAGATTATCCAAAGCATTCATCTCCCTAGGATTATCAATACCCTTGAGCAGATTCACAAGGTACATGGTGCCCAGCTTGGTTTTCTGCCTTATCCAATGTGGGCGCTTTTTATCGCTAGCTGTTTTGTTCTGGAAGATGACCGGGTGAAGATTCTCGAGTTCTTCACTGTGCTCAAGGATAAGAAGCCTATTAGTAATGTTCCATCTACTATGGCTGCAGTTGAAGCGATATGGAAGAAAAGAGATCTGAGCTCTGACGAGACGACCATGGCCTCGTCACGGCATACGGCTACTTGGACACATGTTATTTCCCAGCTAGGATGGATGATGCCACTTACTTAGTGAAGTCAAAGCAGAATAGGGCACATTTAATACTTCATGTAAACAGAAGAGTGTTGACAAATGGAATTCTGGTATCAGTCCTAACCAATTGCCATCCGAACCTTCAAGAAATCGTTCTCAATAATTTCCTCTTTCCTCTGAAGAACAACTTCCATATTCCAAAGAGCACTGAGATATCGCCCCTGCAGCCAGTCCCGCTTCTCACTAGTTAAATATGTGATCGTATCTGCACAAACGCTGGCAGAGTCAACAAGGACTTTTCAGTGTGAATAAATGTTAGTTTCTTCTATATTCAACATAGTTATTATAATGAACCACTCAACTCACGTGTCCCTGTATCCAGCGCTACCTTCTCCCCATCTCGGTTGCCACTGCACCCGGATTCACAGCATAGGCCAGGACCCCCTCACTCCCATACTCTGCCCCAATGAACTCACTGAAACGCAAATTAACAAGCTTTGTCATCTGATAAGAGCTTCCACCAGACGAGACACGATGCGCACTTGTACTAGTCAGAGTGACAATAGTACGATCCGACTGTCGATCTCTCAGCATTATCGGCAGCATCTGTCGAGTGAGCAGAAATACGCCCTTCACATTAACCTCCCAGCCTTTCCACCAGTCTTCCGGGTCGGATTCCGTAATGGGCACAAATCGAGGAAGATAGCCGGCATTGTTCACAAGTATGTCTAAGCGGGAAGATGTGTCTAGCGCAAAACGACTCGCGATTTCGTTGACCATGTCTGGGTCGGTTACATCCAGCTTGTAAGCGAGGATCTTAGGTAATGGCTTTCCAGCTGCAACCGCTGCTTCCTGTATTGCTTTGATTGTAGCTTCTTGAGAGGATCTTGCTGCGATACCAATGAGAGATGCTCCGGCTTTTGCATAAGATATGGCAATAGCGAGTCCGATTCCTTTGGAAGTGCCCGTTATGAAGACTGATTTTCCCGCTAGATTGAGCTTTAGGGGGTCAATGAATGGGTAGGATTGAGACATCCGCTCAGTGTAGTCCGTTCTTAATCAAGGTTGTTAATAGCTATGATTATTCCTAATTCGCAAGCCAAGAAAAAAAAAAGTACCATTTGATAGAACCATATTGAATATGGTTTCAGCAGGAAATCTGTGATAAGCGTAAGTCTTTAACTCTGACTGTTGTGGGCTTTTATAGCCAGTCGAGTTACCTTATCTATACTAAGATTGTAAGGTGGGGGCCACACTCATTCTACGTCGTCTCAAAACATGAAATGGCAGGTGGATGCGCCGGTACAGTCAAGCGAGAGATAACTCACCAATACCGTCTGGTTGTGGCTTTTCATATGTCTAATTTTCCTGGAACAGATGCTCTTTCAAGATCGTAGACGCATATCATAGAATGAGGAAATACCTTGATTTTTCTCTCCGTTAATCTATGCTCTATTTAATAGGCGGTAGAAAGTTGGCAAGGGGATAGAAACGTGCTGGTGGAGACTGTACAAATGAGGTTATGTGAGATATAACAGAACTAGATAAATCTATTTGATGTCCTTCTTCCTCAAGATAATTGACCAAACTTGCACTGTGGAAGATTTCATCCATTGTGTCTTCTTGCTTTGTCGGGTTGAACTACCACAGTTGTACGAAAGTGACAAATTTCCTCCAAGAGGGCATCTGCTCATATTTATCCAACTCCAAAATCTCTTCTGTACCAAGAGTCCTCCTTCCTGTTTGTAGGTCCACTGTTCGAGGATCTCGGAGCTTGGTTCGATAAATGAGCTTGTAGGCGATGGTGCTGAACACAATCAAAACTAGACCAAACATATACTGAAAGAAGTAGTATGCGGTTGGAGTATTTGATCCCTAAGTAAAACAATATTTAGTACTTCGAGACTGGACAGTCAGCTGGCTGATAGGGGGACTTACAATAGGGTACAAAGCAAGGTATAGAGAACATGCGATATAAAAGCAACAGCACGTAAGCAGCCACATCGGAGGAAACGGCCAGATACTGCATTTCCAAGCGTATGTTTGCGCGAAGAGCGGGTCATTCTGAGCCTTGAGAGCCGCTCGAAAGCGAAACGAGGTAATGGATATAACAAACCACACCATGAAGTATCCCGTGCTAGCAATCTGAGACAGCCAGTTGAACACAGTTATACCTTCTCCACTGAGGTTGATGTATGTTAGGGTAATACAGAGAGCACCTGTGATTGCGAGAGAAACTCGAGGGCGCCCTCGTGAATCAACCTTTGCTAAATAGGGCGAGATCAATCCTTGATGAGCCATCGATTGGAGAATTCGCGAGGCGATGAAAAAGCTCTCAGCAGCAATAGCCGCCACTGCAAATAGGATGATCACATTAAGCAAGTCCGGAAGACCCTTGATCCCGGCCTGTTCAATAGCAATGATAAAAGGTGATGCGGCGATACCACTGCTCCCTAGTAGATTGGTGTTGTGAGGAGAAACTAGGATTCCAATCAAGACCATAGAACCCAGATAGAAAATTGAGACTCGGATTGGGATCAAGAATACTGCATGGGCGACAGAAAATCGCGGGCTCTTAGACTCTCCAGCAAGGAATCCAGTAAACGTGTTATCTAGATAGACCATTAGCATCTCCAGGAAATCTAAATATTCCAGTTCAGACAAACACAAACCTCCAATTGCGAGAATAGCGAGTAGAACACTGTTTCCGAACCCCTTGAACCCATTCAGGAAGGCTTCGTCTTGCCATGCATGACCATGGTGTAGGCTACCATGTGAACCAGCACCGAAAATAAGGGCGATACCGACAATGATAAATAGGATCAGAACAAAGATCTTCAGGATAGAGGTAAAGTACTCAAACCATCCAAAAACAGTATTTGGCAGACTAAACATGATAAACATTATAATAAGAAAGATCGTCACTATATATTAAAGTTAGCAGATAGAAACTTCTAGTGGTCATATCAAGAATAAAAAGATTTCACGCGAAGCACATACACCAAACAACTTCAGAAACAGACCCCTTTGCCCAGTAGTTCACTATAACTGAGAAGAACGTCGCTTCTGAAGCGATAATGGCTGTCCAGCCGATCCACATCGAAAACCCAGCCGCGAAGGCCACAGCTGGGTCAACAAAACGATCGGCATAGTCGATAAAATTACCAGAAGTAGGAAAGCTGATAGTCATCTCACTGACTGTCTGAAGGACTGCCCATACACATGAGCATACGACTGCGAAGCCGAGAAAAAGAGAACCAGGACCACCATCGCGTAGGTTCGCGCCACTCGAAATAAAAAGACCAGCTCCAATTTGGCCTCCAAGAGAAATTACCTGTTACCGGTTAGATCATGTTCTGGAATCAATCTGATTCAATCGGAAATATGACGATATTAGAGTACATGCATGGATTTGTCTGGGTGTAAATGTTCGGTGGAACCCAGCATTGTTCTGCAACGGAACTACTTCTCCTAGATTATTATCACTGTTTCCATCATCCAGTGGTTGGGTATTGGAAACAGTATCCTTTGCCATGTCCTTCAACTGCGACATTTTTTAGAGCAAATTGATGTGTATGTATCTTGTAGGATGCGCAGTTGGATACTCTTATAGTAAGGGCGAGGGACCATACCCTTATATTCACTGCGGACGCCTTGATAAGAATTCGCTATGTTGTACATTAGGAAACATTCTACTGCGTGTTTAACAGATAGTGCCAAGATAACTCTAACATAAGGCAGGTCGATACGCCGTTTACCCCAATCTTCTTGTTCTCCCCCAGCTAGATCAAGCGCTCTAATTGGATCGCAAGGAAGTGCTATCTGTTAAGTGGGGGCAGTATCTAAGGTTCTCCCCATTCCAAAGGTTCCAAGGTTCAGAGGTGCATTAGAAACTTTATCTGTACATAGTCTAACCTAAGGCTAGAACCTTGACTAGGACAGATTAGGCAAGACTAAAAATGCTCGACTCCCAATTATCCTAGGTTGCAGCGCATCGACCTGCCCTTCTATCTGACTCCAACGTAGCACATTTTTACGGTGTGGCATAGGTCCCCAAAAAAAAAATAACGAACTGATGAAGTATAATAAGCTCAAGATATCCGCAGAAATGTAGTTTTGCCCACCAGTCATTGTCACAACAGAAATCGAAATCTCTCTCGCAATGGTTTCCTCTCAACTCTCCGAACCGATCATCATTATCGGAGGCGGAACTTTTGGCACGACCACAGCCTACCACTTGGCAAAGAAAGGATATACCAACGTTGTGGTCCTTGATCGTTTCCCGGTGCCTTCAGCAGAAGCAGCCGGGAATGACATCAACAAAGTTGTTCGCACAGAATACCCTCAGGATCTATACACCAGGCTTGCATCTGATTCACGGGACATATGGTCCGATCCAGATGGATTATTTGCTGGACTCTACAATCCTTGTGGTTGGATCATTGGGGCGAGTGATCGTTCCCAAGCCTTTATCGATGGTTCGATTAAAAGCGCAAAGGCCAACGGAGTCGAGCCGCCACGATTGCTTTCGACTCAGGAGGTTCATCAGCAATGGCCCGCTGTAAATGGTGACCTCCAAGGATGGAACTCCTATTGGAGCCCTAATGCAGCCTGGGTCAATGCTAGGGAAGCCATTATCAGAATGGCCAGAGAGGCCACGGCAGCCGGAGTGAAATATATCTCGGGGAGCGCGGGGCATGCGTCGCAGCTTCTTTACGATGAGCATCAAGCATGCATCGGAGTAAAGTGTGCTAATGGTACGGCATACTTTGGAAGTAAGATAGTGCTTGCGGCCGGGGCGGCAGCTGGAAGCCTGTTAAATCTGCAAGGCCAAATTGTGGCTCATGGTCATACTGTGGGCCATATTCAGTTGACTCCTGATGAGGTCGAGAAGTACAGAAGCATGCCTATCCTCGATCATTTAGAAGGAGGTAAATGAATCTTACTAGTTCTACTCCCATTAAGTACTAACCACTGCTAGGAATTCTTTTCCCTCCTCAGGAAGACGGTATTATGAAGATTGGAGCAATTCATTTCGTCACTAATTATGCGAAGTCCTTTAATGGGTTTTCCCTTCCGCGTTACCGTTCGGATAATCCCGAGGATGGAATACCCGCCGAAATCGAGGCTCATCTTCGTAAATGGATGGCAGGGTGTGTACCTGAGCTAGCATCTCGAGAATGGATTGAAACTCGGATTTGCTGGTAAGTCCCCAGCTCATTAGTGGACACCCATGAACGCCTTGCTGATAGTTCTCAAGGGATGGTGATATGCCAGATTATCATTTCCTGATCACACCTCATCCAACCCACAAAAACCTGAAGGTTGCTGTTGGAGGGTCGGCGCATGGGTTCAAATTCCTGCCGATATTAGGGAAGTACATCGTTGAAATGATGGAAGACGCGCTGGACCCTGAAATTGCGCAACAGTGGAAATGGAGGCCAGGTGCCAAGTCTGGAGATTATTCAACAATTCCACATCAGGAAGTGGCTAAGGATCTGACTAGGTTACCCGGCTGGGGTGAGCCAAAGAGCTTATTGTGAAGTGAAAGATATCATCGATATAAACCTACCTAGATACCTGACTGTTGCTTATGCGCTTATTGGCGCAGAGGCAAGCGAATCCACCTCGGCACTGTTGAAGTATTGCAAAATGTGAATATACTGCAAGCAACCAGAAATTAAAGAAAGGGATATTCAACAATGTATGCATCGAATTAGAATTAGAATGGTAAAAAGTCTCAAAATCTACAATATAGAAAGTGCAGACTTATATACTATATTAGTATCCCACCAGACTGGCGTGCGAGTGGAAGAGTTTTCAAATCCTAGAGCATGTGCTCTACTTCATAGCAGCGTAGCTGATAATTAGGGGCGGCATTAAATATCCTACGTATTAAAGAATCCATAATTCTTAAGCCCTCTAAGCCTACTGGATTCCGCTATAAACAATGGTTTAAAGGCCTACTAGATCGCTATAATTCGCCGCTCTTCTTAAAAGAGAAGTGATTTACGCCCCGCCAACGAGAGACAGAAGTAAAAGCATACTATTCCGTAGATCCCGGAGGTAGATACTAGCTAAAATCGGCTTATTACTTGATTACCAACCTTGGAAGGCTGGGCATATAACGTTTAGTAAGAAATTGCAGTTTTATAGTGCAGAAATGGCAAGCTGAAGTCCGGTGTTAACTTCACACAGCACTAACGTATTCTGTAAGCGACCTGGCCATGTAAGCGGGCTGGCCACCCCCCAAACACATAGTAAATGCGATAAAGTATAACTTGATATCTCAACAACGATAACTTTATTTGATTTTATTACTTGTCGATAGCTATTGATAAGGATTTTAAATACTATATATTAATCTTAGGGAAATCGAAAAACTGCATTATTGTGGTATAGAAAATTACGGTGCTAAAAGCCAGTAATATATATATCATAATCACAAAGTCATATATATTTCCTAAACTCCCTAGAGAGGCTAAATATCACCCAAAGAATATCAGTATATAAGGGAAAGCCTTCTATAGTCCACCGTTGTTGAGATATCAAGGTGTAATTTATCGCATTTACTATGTGTTTTGGGGTGGCCAGCCCGCTTACATGGCCAGCTCGCTTACCGAATACGTTACTACAGACTGCCATCTTAGAATTCGCTGGATGCATAGACGCGCCCGGTCTTTCTGTCGGGTTGTTCCTTCAATGAGCTGCCCGTGAGACTGATCACAACACGCCTATTGTCAAACAGTAGGCCGGGTATGGTATTGAGCAATAATTTATGTGTGGTAAGGCCTGGGCACGGGGTACAGGCATAGTCATTAACCTAGGTGGGTCCAAATTCCTTTTGATCAGATGGGTGTTTTTAGGTCCGGGAACACGGCGTGTCAACTAACCGGCTCGTTGCGTTTCGGATAGAAGATGGTTACTTATATGTTGTAAATGTAGAGAGACTAGTGGGCTGCGGACTGCAGATCACGAATGACGATGAGTAATGTCATCTTTGCTATGATTCTGGATTAGGCTTCTCACTAGGTGACCCCAGTGGGTTTCCGCTTTGTGTGACTATGCCTACGGAGTCCGGAGTACGGCTATTCGAATTTAGAAGGCAGTTAATGTGTAAAGGGGTTTCTTTGTACAAAGTTTAAAGTGGAGAATATCGATATGGATCAGCAATTCCTCCTATATTATAGATGCCCAAAAGGCCCCTTGGGCATCTTGTCCAATATTCAAGAAATGTTTTTGGTAGCCTTTGAAATTTTTAGTCAGGGGCAGCGGACATTCACAGGACAAAGAAAGCCCTGACTGTACTCCGTACAACATACGTCGTGCGTACAAAAAGGGGTCTTTTGACCATGTATACGGAGTAGTAGTTGGTCAAAGCTTCTAAAGCACCATTATCATCATCCGGTACGGAGACAAAAAGGGTCCATGTGTCTGTTGACCCGGGTCGTTGGTAGCTGGTAGCTAGCGATATCCAATGTTGTTCAAGGAGTATACAACATAGGGTACTGCATAGTACGAAGTATAATAGCAATGACGATGATGAAATGATCAACATGAGAGCTTCCGATGATTTGGCATACTTTCTGCTGAGGCTGATTGACATACATACTTTCTCTGTATGGAATATACAATATCGGAAGCAAACAAAGGCGTTGAAGATCACTACGTCTGGGCTTGATAGATCGACATACGCCTCGAGCTGAAAGCTGGTCAGGTGATGCCCGCTAAACTAGCTTGGGAAGGTCCCGAAATTGGCGGACTTGTGGATCACCTGGGCAGTGTCATGTTGTTTTGTTTCGCTTGTCGAGCACGGAAGTCCGGATATGCACATGTTTGATCTTTGATCCCCAATTTTATCTATCCCAGGTATCAAATTAAGTACGGAGTAGATGTACCTAATCTTTCCAGGGTGCAAACCCTAGAGGTTGGAAAGTAGACCTATCATCGGTCAAAAAGAAATTGTGAGGAAAGATGCCTCAGGCACTGCAGAAGGCGGCCCGTCCGAGTTACCATGGAAGATATCAACATATATCCATGGTATATATAATTACGGTTGTTTATTGATCTACAAATGAATGGTTGATCTCTTCGAAGCCCTGAAGAGTATCACGGCCCTTTGCCTGTATCGTACTTTGTACATCAAATTTGGTTTCCCGTTCCGTGTGACTGCTCCAACGGCTCCGTTTTTGGGTGGACCCAAGGCAACGGTCACAGGTGGTTTCATCACCGGGGATATGTATGATCATAATATGTACAGTATGTTGTATACTTCGTACTTCGTACACGTTGTAGGTATTGCGTACGTACTATGTTCAGGGCCCCACAAGCGATCGAACATTGAAGCCAGCACAATCATAATCGGATAAGGGTTCACACAGTATAATAATAGAAACTTAGTTGGATGTATCTATGTTTTTTTAGATTTTTATCCGGGGGCGAGCAAAAGTACGTGTCCACAAGATGAGCCACAATCTGAAAAATCTGCGTGTTGTTTGTACGCTGTGCATCGTCGACACAAGCTGAGTGCAATGCATAGCTGAGGCGGAGGCGAATATCCGAGAAGTTTGCCTTCTAAATTGATCAGACTTATTACGCGTAAAAAGTATTACAACATATGCTGCGCTGATGAATCTGACAGAGCCAAAAAATTTGGTAGGCCTAACGGCTCCCCTAGTTCCCGGTCACGATGTTAGAGTTCCGCATGTATTGGAGCCTTGAATGCAGGACAGCTCGAGTTGTCTTAAGCCGGAAAGGCACGGGGATGATAATCCAATCATTAATCTGAGCTAGTCTCTTTGGCTTAGAACCTACCTGAAGGGGAAAGGTGTTAAACGTAGGCTAGTGGAGTGAGAATAGTACCAACGGCTGTCTCTGAAGCGTTCCACACCAATGGGAATTCACACAAATCGGGGCTAATGACATCTTCCAGCGGGTCGGTGCAGGTGGAGTCGCCTTAAAAAACAGAATCCATGGATCTGGACTCGGATAAAGGAGGGGTTTGGCTTAATTAAATTAATTAAATATTGATTTTGCTTAAAAAAACAATTTAAGTAATTTAAAATAAAATCGTATTTCGGATTTTGTTTTGCGGATTTTTGCGGTCGAGTCCGTCTCCACTTTGTAGAATGGTCCAGCCATGGGTAACGCGCGCACCTTTTTGTATGGACTCTTCCCCTCGGCAGAACCATTTCGAACTCTTCCTCCTCAACTCTCCTTGAATATCCTCTACATTCGCTTGGTCTCATACCCCCAACCACTTTGGCCCTTTATTCGTTTTACATTCCCTACTCGATCCTTGAAGGGGGTTAAGACGTGTCTCACGTTTCAGTGCTCGGAAGCTAGCCATTGAAGCCGCTTTTTGCGTGTTTATTTTATTTTTGCATACATCAGATCTGGCGTGCAGGAGATCCGAGAGATCCCGTATCGTGATTGGTTTTGCTTCTCAAGGGATATCCTAGAGAAAAAAAAAAGTACTCACCAGCCGCGGAAGCTGATTTTCTTTGTTGGCCTCCTTGGGTGACTCAAGTCTTCGGTACTCTAGGGCTGATCCGTCCAACCGGGTCCCTCCATCAGTCCTCTATTCCTCTTTGGGCCTATCAGGTCTCCAGTTACCTACCCCCTTGACGGGTTTTGAGCTATCCCAGCCGCCACGACTAATCCGGTTCTTCGGGTCGACCATAACTACTGCTCTTTAGCCACTGGTCTTGCACTCTTTTCTTCTCATCAACAACTCTCTTTACAACTTATCTTTAACACACACTCTCTCTTGTCTCGACAACAGTCTCGACACTCCAGTCCTTCAAATATTCATAGCATGTCTTCAGCCCCCCATTATGAGACATTGGATGCACCCGATGGGTCAGCATTGACGTGGATCTTTGATCATTGCTTGCGTTACGCCGACAACTACGAAATCTCTCTTCGTGCTGCATACGAACTCAATTGCCACCCATCAAAGAGCACAATGGCGCCTTCATTTATTCCTCGATCACCCTCTATCTTCTCCCGCAATTCCGTTTTATCTAAAAACGCTCGTAACTCCAAGTCTTCTTTCGATGCCCCTTCTTACGACACCAATGCCGAATTCCGTGCTTGTTTGTCCAAGACTGTCGCCGAATTGTCTTCTCAGCCTTGCTCGCTCCCTCCGAGCTTCATTATCAACTTTGTGCGCCGCTGTTTTTGTCTGGACCTGTCCGATGTCGACTTTGCGCAGGCTTTAACTGCTCTTGATTACCTTAGAGACCTCCAAGGTCGCTGGAAAAAGGAGATTGATGCTGCCTTCAACCGACTCAGCATTACTTCCCAGGATGCGAGTGACCCTCAGCACTCGGAAGTGGCTCGCAAGTTCCCCAACGTGATGGTCTGGTACAAGGATATCAGCAACAAGGCACGCATGATCGATTTTCTGTACACTCAGGTCTATGTCGGCCTGCGTCGCTGGGTAAGATTTATCCCGAGATTGAAATAAAGAGTTCCGTGTCTAACATTTATTTCTCAGGTTCTTGTCAATCAGATGATGCTTGAGCCATTCGACAAGGCCAACTGCCTTGCTCTTCTTAACACTCTACTGCCGCCTCTTCACCGGGACAGCTCTACCCCCACACAGCAGTTGTCAACAGCTATCCTTGGAAATCATCGCGATACCTTCTTCAGATTCATTACCACCTTCGAGTCTGATCCTTCAATCCTAGAGCCTATCATGAAGCAAGGCGCTCGACCCGGTGACGAGAATGGATGGCCTGCATTGTATGACGTCGTTGATCGATACTTGAACGCCGCCCTCGAGATGATCGACGAGTGTACTTTGATCAACGAGCCTGGTCAGATTAGCAAGTCAGGCGTGCAGCGCCGCACCGACTCGGGCATCAGCTTCGGTCCTGATTTTGGCCCCTGTCCTACTAGCTCCCAGTCTTCGGATACCGAAAAGCCTCTTCCCCATTTCCCAGAACCGAACACAGGAACTAGCAAGTATGGTTCGTTGCTGGAACGATTTGCCTCCTTGTCAGCATGGGGCAAGAAGAAGGACCCTAAGAAGGAGCAGCAGAGGGAGCAGAGGGAGCAGCAGAGAGAATTTGAGCGCAGTCTGAGGAAGATGCAGTCCTGCAGAGAATTCCACAGTCGGTCTAGCAGCACCAAGAGCACCAAGAGCATCAAGACATCAGCAAAGTTCAATGCAACGATATCTTTCGATTTGACCGACGATAAGCGCCGGCGTTTGATTGATGAAGCCCAAGCTCGCAAGGCAGTCGACGCGGCTGAGGCGGACCAAAGCATTGGCCAGGCCATTTAATCGCAACTTCTCTTGCAACAGCAAAAAAAAAAAAAAAAAAAAAAAAACCAACAAACGGAAAGGAAAAACCCCCCCAAAGCCCAAAAAAACGAAGCTAAGAGAGGGGACTGAACATGCTCCTCACATTTCCACTTGAATTCTTTACACTCGACTCGGTCATCCCTTACTCTTCTCTCATCCTCGCTGCAGCCGTCCCCCTGCGAGCACAAAATCTAGAGGGAGCGCTTGCTTCCAACTTTGCCAATGTCGGGCCTCTGTTGCGCAGAGCCAGCCGGGCTGCATTTATGTGCCTTACCTTCGTTCGGAACAAAAAAAAGGCGTTTGGGGGAAAGCATATGGGGGTGTTGATTTACGATTTAATGTCCTTACGATAGCGTCCAGCTCACTGGATTTGAACCTAAAATTATTATTATCTTTATCATTATTGTTTTCATTTCTCATCCAATGAATATAAATATATATATGTATGATCTCACGACTGTAGCCAATGCAATACAACACATGGAGTAGAGCAGTCGACAACTAGACCTCGGTGATTGCGCCAGTTGCCGCTCAGTCTGCCGTAGAAGCTGCGATAAGAGATAGCGAAACCCTCCTCCAAGTGTCCAGATCAGCCGATTCATCCTCGATCTCACTACCGTCTTTGTTGAGAGCTTTAGCTCATTTGGCCCGTGATGCTTGTAAATGGATTGACCTGGATGTTTACTAATTAAGAAGCCCACACCACGCTACATACGACTCGCCCGGTACCAGGCTATCCCCTATACCATACAACAGATATACACAGCTGCCCTCCCACACTGCATTACGCGATAATGAGGGCCTCTACGGTATCTCACATTTCCTGGCGATGGTACGCTGCCGTCGCAGTCCTTCTACCAGGCTGGATTGCCAATGCTAGCCCAGCTGTGAACGTGGCGCTCCAAGCCTCCTTTGACTCGGCCCCATACCTCGTCGAGCTCCTGTACGTTGCACATTGAGTGATCCCTCGCCTAGAGAAGGTCTGTCAATAGGATAATGGCTAATGAATTTAATACAGGGAGTCTGCCGCCGAAGAAAACTCCACTTCCTATTTCCCTTTGTTGGATCGCATCGCCGACGGGACGTTTGAGGACCTTGCAACCGAGAAGGAGCTATACGACCGCTTCTTGACAGTTGTGAAGGATGACGGTCACATACAGACTCCGGAGAGTCTTTCCTCGTTCAAATTATCGCTCTCGGTTCGATCATCAGCGCCTCGTATTGAGGCCCACTTCCAATTCTATAACACCTCGGTTCAGCAGTCCTTGATGGTGGCTCAAGATGCGGTATGTCCCGTATGGGTCCACTCGGAGGGAAAACAGTATTGCTCTTCTGCCATGGAACGCGCACAGCAGGATGTCGTGGGAGAATTGTGGGTAGATCTTCGTTCGTGAGGTATGGACTCCAATAGCTGACATTGAATTTCTGTCTAGGGACCCTAGAGAGCTACCATTTGATCGTGTCCTGGGCGATGCATCGCTGCCTCCAGCTGTCCTGTACGCAGACGTCGCCTCTCCAATGTTCAGAAATTTCCACGAAACTCTGAGCGACATGGCAAAGCAGGGACAGATCTCGTACCGTGTACGCTATCGACCTCCCCAAAACTGGATTCCCCGTCCCTTATTTGTGTCTGGATACGGCGTGGAGCTTGCTTTGAAGCGAACGGACTACATTGTTATTGATGACCGTGATGCGGAGCAGCTCGACGAAAAGAGCGCCAAAAATCTTCTAACTGACCTAGATGACACCAAGGAAGATGCTCCCGATGACCTACGGCCTCTGTCTTCCTCCGAAGTGAATCGTCTAGGCTTAAACTCTGCGAGCTACGTTATGGACAGCGCTGATCCTTTGGGGACATTGATCAAGATGTCCCAAAATTTCCCCAAATATTCATCGATAGTAGCTGCCCACAATTCCGCTGGGGAAATAGCACAAGAGATCCGCCACAACCGGTTAAAAATGCTCCCTGGTGGTTACAATGCCATGTGGATCAACGGTGTGCAAATGGACACACAGCAGATTGATGCATTCTCACTTCTCGAACATCTGCGCCGGGAGAGGAAATTGATTGAGAAATTCCGCGGCCTGGGTCTCTCTGCGGATGATGTCGTGAGGTTACTATCACACCGACTCCTCACTGAAGCCCAAGCTGGTGCCGAGGAGCAACGGTATGACTACCGGGATGATTTGGAAGGGAACCAGGTCATTATTTGGATGAACAACCTGGAAAAGGACTCTAGATACGACTCCTGGCCTGGTGAACTGGAGGCGGTTCGTACTTATCTCGGTGGCTACTAGACTGGACACTTACTAACATCATTCTAGTACCTCGCCGGTTCTTACCCGGGACAATTGCCCCCGGTGAGCCGAGATCTGCATAATGTCGTTGTGTCTGTGGACTCATCTAACCCGGAACACATAATGCTTGTTGCTGGAAACCTGCAAGCGTTCATCAAGAGAGGAATTCCTGTGAGATTTGGCTTCGTACCTACCACCTTGTCGCCAGAGTCCATTGCGCACCTGAAGGTAGCGCATTACCTTTTCGATGCCTATGGCATAGAGTCTCTTGTGCAATATTTCGAAGAGTATGCCTCGAAAGGCAAAATGGCCTTCCCAGACAAATCGTGCTTCCAATCTGCGACTAAAGAGCGCAACCTCGTTGGCGATCATGAAGCTCTGTCTCTTGATGAAGTCTTGAAGAGCGAAAAGTATAATGCTTTAGTGTCCCAAACGGATGCTTACCAGCGTCGGTTGAGTCTGACCAGTGACGCACCTCAATTCCTGGTGAACGGTATCCCTGTCCCCCGAGAAGGCAACTGGATGCAGGGAATGAGTATGCAGATCAGCAGAGACTTGAAGTTGGTCCAGCAAGGCATTGTAGAGGGAATTTTCGAGGAGGACGCATGGCTCCCGGAGTTCTTCCTGGCTCGCGCATTCGAGAGACGCAATACTTTCCTCATGCCCGAGGATCCCAAGAGTGTACAGATTGTGGACATCGCTAACATCCTTCCATCGGATAAAGATGTATTGAACAAGATTCCTCACGTTATCTCAGACAAGGGGGCTCTGGGGAGCGCTCATGTGATCGTCGTGGGTGATTTCGAGTCAGAGGCAGGCATAAAACTACTTACCGAAGCCCTGGATCTTCGAAAGGAGAATGGTGACTTGGAGATTCTGGTTCTGCACAATGCGGTATCGGATGCCGAGGATGATGTCCCTAAGAATCTCGCATCTCTTTATCTCTCGCTTGCGAGGGAGGAAACTATCGACCAAGTACTGGCTAACATTGCATCTGGTGATCTTGATACTGAAGTCCTAGAGACTGAAGTCCAAGAGATCTCTGCCCTTCAAGCTTTGCACCAAACTCTGGCCAGAGAACTTGGATTCAACCCTGGCACTGAGGGACTCGTTGTCAATGGGAGGGCAGTCGGCCCTATTGAGAAGGAACATCCGCTAAGTGTGGAAGAGATAAGCCAACTGATTGCCTACGAACGAGTGAAGCGCCTCGATTCCGTTGCGGCGGCTGTTGGCGAACTCGGATTCGCCGATAAGATCTCAAGTCCGCTCGATTTTGCCAAATTGACCTCGCTTGTGGCTCTTTCCGCCATCTCGGATGTCCCCGAGGGTATCTTCGAAAACACTCCCGATTTTAGAGTGGACGTGTCCGGTAAATGGAGGACGGAGCACTCTGTGATCACCGTGTCTAACTCCGATGATCCCACGATCCACGTTGGTGTTAGCCTTGACCCGGCATCTGAGGTTGCTCAGCGGTGGTTGCCGATTCTGAAGGTTCTCTCTGAGCTATCCGGCGTTCAGCTGAAGATTTTCTTGAACCCGAAGGAGGAGCTCCAGGAGCTGCCGGTCAAGCGCTTCTACCGCTATGTCTTGGAATCAGAGCCATCTTTCACAGACGAGGGAGCTCTGGCTCGGCCGCAAGCGTCCTTCACTGGCGTGCCAGTCGAGGCACTGCTGACGTTGGGCATGGACGTGCCGTCGTCTTGGCTCGTAGCACCCAGTGAATCAGTCTATGACTTGGATAACATTAAGTTAAGCTCGGTCAAGTCTGGTACTGACGTTGACGCTATCTACGCTCTCGAGCACATTCTGATTGAGGGCCACTCTCGTGATCTTACAACGAAGTCTGCCCCCAGAGGTGTCCAGCTTATCTTGGGCACCGAGAACAACCATTATTTCGCCGACACCATCATCATGGCTAATCTGGGGTACTTCCAGTTCAAGGCTCAGCCAGGCTTGTGGCAGATCAACTTGAAGCCCGGCCGCAGCGAGAAGCTTTTCAAGATCGATAGCGTCGGTGGTCTAGGATACCGCCCCCAGACTGGTGACGAGAACAACGAGGTTGCTCTGCTCTCCTTCCATGGTCGGACGCTGTTCCCTCGCCTATCGCGAAAGCCAGGCCACGAGGAGGAAGATGTTCTCGAGACAGGAGTCCAACCAGGCTCAAAGATGGACTATTTTGCTAAAGGGCTCAATTTTGCATCCGGCGTCCTCTCCAGCGTTGGTGTCGGGTCCAAGAGCGGAGGCGAACAACACGCCGATATCAACATCTTCTCAGTAGCAAGTGGACACCTATACGAGCGCATGTTGAACATCATGATGGTCTCCGTGATGCGACACACCAAACACACTGTCAAATTCTGGTTCATCGAGCAATTCCTCTCCCCCTCTTTCCGCGCCTTCCTCCCTTCTCTCGCCCGCGAATACGGCTTCTCCTACGAGATGGTAACATACAAATGGCCACACTGGCTGCGCGCGCAGAAAGAAAAGCAACGCGAGATCTGGGGGTACAAGATGCTGTTCCTGGACGTCCTCTTCCCCCTGTCCCTGGACAAAGTAATCTTTGTCGACGCAGATCAGATTGTGCGCACAGACATGTACGAGCTAGTCACCCACGATCTACAAGAAGCGCCCTACGGCTTCACACCGATGGGCGACTCTCGAACCGAAATGGAAGGCTTCCG